AACTTTAGTGTACAAAGACGTGAAACTCACCGAGTGGTCTGGGTGGTCACTATATGCTCACACAAAAATCGCTAGGCCGTGTCTCTGATAGCCCTTATGTATTAGTATCTTATGCAGCTTTTCTTAAGTAAATGTAGGCTTAATTGTATTTTTAGATATTTTTTTAATATGTACAGTGTCATTTGTTTGTTTTTTCAGAGCTTAATCCTGCTTGTTACTCATTAGTATGAACTTTTGCTAGAGCAATGACAATGCAAAGGCACATGACTAGAGCAAAGGCAGGAAACACTGCTTGCAGTCAGTGAAATCTTTATTGACTTCCAAATAAAGAATAAAAAATAACATAAACAAAAAGAAAAGTTCCCTCACCAGAAACATGCATTCCTTTATACTGAAAGGGTCAACCATTTTAGTAGGGAATTTAAATAATGTTCACATACATGATACATAACTACACTGAAAATGAAAATAATATTCAAAATATATCCACCTTAATTACACAAGGAAAATAATACAAATAATAAACAAATACATTTCTACATACACTGAACATAAACACAATAAAACATGAAACAATAACCCCCTGCTCCCATTGAGAAATGGACTATTCCTACACTACCCAGAATTCTTTGGGATGGCATAAAATGAGGAACAGGAAGGCCGCCCATCCTCTTAAACACCCACCCCCGGAAACCATGCTGCAGACATGAACCCAGAAGGTAAGTTTTGCAAATGAGGATAAAACTAATGATTTATGTAAATACCAAAATAAAGAACATAAAGAAATAAATCTCTTGGTGTGATTTATCAGTCTATGTGCCAGACTAGAAAAAAGTTATCAAATAATGAGAAACAAACATTTATATATAAACCAAACAAACAGGGGCCTACACTACCAGCAGGGCTAAAATAGGACTTTTGTCATACACAGGAAGCCAATTCTGCATTGTTTTTGTGGAGATCTTGTGGTCTTTTGTTAGTTGTAACATGTCTTACTTTTCATTCAGTGCCAGGGAATTGTCACACCAGCTTTGTGTTCCTGACCCACCCACACACAATATTGTTTTCAGAGAAAACAGTCAAGATCTCTTTCCTTCCTCTCAACCTCCTCTCAGTGTGAGGAATGATGCTTTCCTTGCTTGAAATTTGTGTTTTCTTTCTATACACATGAATATATATTTGCATTATCTTTATCTGCATATATCTTTATCTTTATATATATTGCATATATCTTTCTATACACATGAATATATCTTGGCTTAAAGAGCTTTTGTCTCTCTAGGCAGTGATAGTTTGTAAATGCTAACATTTATAAACACAAGCTGTTATGAATTATGTAAGCATAATTGAACATGTGCTGCTAATGTTACAAAGGTTTTTGCAGTGATGGATCCATCAAGGCTTACAAGATCGTTTTAAAAAAACGTTTCTCAACGGATGTCTTAGTGAAAACTATCATTCTGCCTCTTCAGATACCTTAGAGAATCGTGGCCATCATAACATTTTACATCTAATTTATTATCCTTTAATTTTTGTTTAATATTTTTCGGATTGCAGCATTTGTGCCCTTGTCATTTAGAGACGCCCTGCATCTGTAGGAGCAATTTTCTCTCTTTCTTGCTTTAGGAGTCTTTCAGTGAAGTCTTTCATCTCATTCCCGTGCTGCTATTTTAATTATTTCACAGGTCCTAAATAGAATTGCTGACATCCTGCTACCTTGACACCCCAGATGTGACTAATATGCAGGACAATCTGGGATTAATATTCCACTGTTATAAATCCCTGCTGAGAAATGGAGTGAAAATCTTGGGTGGGAAATATTCTGTGGTTTGTTCTATGCAGTTAGTAATTTTACTATGGATGGTCTACAGAAGTTGTTTAAAGTCCCACTCCGATCATATTTGTTTAGCTATTTTTAAACATTCCCAGTGGTCTTTAAATTATGATTATGCCATTTTTAGCCAAAATCACAAAACCTGTGCTGTTTTCTGGGACTTCACTTCAGCAGAGCGGCAGTAGCTCATTAGCAATTCTCCTCTGGGTTGTGGGCGGAGTCGACTGGTACCTGCTTTCGGGTACTTTTTTTTATCACCTCGAGCAAGATTCTGAGCGAGCTGAGCCGATACTAAAATGTGACGTGAAAACAATGCCGACTGCTGATTGGTCAGAGACAATCATCTCCATTCACTGCGTTATCATTGCATGCGCCAGATGGAGTATCCAGAATAACCCTGCCATTTTTAAATAGTTTGACCATTTTAAATAGTTTGGAGATAGTTACTAAACTTACTATTATTATTATGGCAATTCAGAAGAATACGCCGTTTGGTGGCCGAAGAGAGGATCCAGCGAGAGCTTGATGGGACAAAGTGGGATGAAAGGCGTCGCTATGATGACCGGGTACTATTTGTGGCGGTGGAAAACAACAGAGCAAAAAGCGAGCCGAGTTGAGGCGAGCCAATGCGAGCTGGTACTGGTAATGGAAAAGTGCCATAAGATTTAACATTTTTGTTTTTCTGGATAATTCTCTGTGTTTCGCCTATGGGTGGCAGAAAAAAACATCTAGCCACGCTATTTGAGCATAAGGGAAAGCTCATGTTAGAGTTTGTTGCTGATTTGAAATGTTATTTAATTGTGAGTTCGGCAAGCAGTTTTTTGGCTCGTTTCCACTGAGCAGTACGGAACAGTAGAGTGTTGGTGCACAGCAGTCTACTATGGTCAACCCAGGAGGTGCAGAGATATTGAAATTTGTGGCAAAAATGATGAACTTTAAATTGTGTCAAATTTTTTATCAAGAATCGTAAAATATAATTACTTGTATTGTGTTATAAGATTTTGATCATAATATACACTCCATACAAAGTCTCCCTCATCTCGTGGGGTTGAATGTGGTGGAGTTTAATTAGTCAACAGTGCCATGTGAATTGAATTATGAGAGAATTCAGAATTTGTAGCTTTGGTTGAGATGTTGGAATGGACGGTTGATCCTAGGTTACACACATGGCATCCAGTGGGTAGCTGTCAGAAACCAAATCATGCCAATGAAAGCTTCTCTTACTCACACACTAATGCTCTTCTCATTTCCCTGCATGCTGCATCACAGATGAGTTGCCGTTTCCTGTTAGGTGGCACAGCAAATAAAGGACAGCATTAGCATTTTATAACGAGCCAGAGAAGAGGGATTCTATTCATTCTAATCTGACCAACACTAATCATATTACATTACAGTATTACAAGGTACTTTTCTGGCCTGCATCTTAGGAGGGTGCTAGTAGGGATGGGTATGATGACCTGCACAGCAATGATCAATCAGGAAAATGTATCTATTGCGTTCCTCTGTAAATTCTTTGAATTTTCTTCACCTGCATGTATTGTAGATGTGTTTATGTATGTATATTTGTGTGCAAATATGTATTACACTTTTTATAATTGTACTTGCAATTCAATAATATTGGATTTATTTGATAAATTACTTGTAATTATTCCACATTTGTAAATCGTTTTGGATTATTGCACCTGCTAAATGATTAAATGTATAATTTGCATAAAGCAGCTAGGATCAGCAAGGATATTCATGCTGGTCTTTTCAGCAGGGTTTCTAAAGCATGCAGGAGTTCAGATGTTGTAAATAGTGTACAGAGATCTCTTTTTTTATTCAGATCAGTGACTTCAGGTAACCCTTAGCTTTTTTTAATTTTTCTATGTTGTATCCTGCCCCTTCCACACTCATTCCACACCATTATTTTTTTTTTAATTATATTTCCATCAGTGCACTGTGGGCAGCAGTAATACTTTGTAAAAGCTAATAATAATAATAATAATAATAATAATAATAATAGGGGGTTCAGGATTTTCATCTCTAAGTCTGGATAATTTTTATTTTATTTTTTTTTTTGCTTAAAATAAGTATCTACTAAAAATAAACAAACAACATTCATAATCATAAAAAATATCTTAATTATTTTTTTAATTAATTAATTTTAATTTATTAAATTATGAGCAGTAAACCAATTTTTTTCCCAATTTTAACTGTTTTGTATGAAATGCTATTAACATGCTGATTACTAGGCCTAATGCTAAATATATATATTAAAAAAAAATGTTTTGTCACAAATCAGAGTCATATACTTTATGGCAGATACAATAGGCTATAATTGCAGCATCCTTATTTTCTGAATAATTTTAGTGAAAATATTAGTTATAATTTATTGACTGCTCACTGTCATCTGTCATCTGTTGCTCTTGAATTGCTTTACGTCTTTAGCAGGCAAGAGAAGCAACGTGCGTGGAGCGGAAAAGGCTTGATTGAACTTGTTTTGTTCTACATAACAATTTTAGAGTGCCAAATGATTATTCCCAAAAACAGCCCCGAGTGTTGTGCACTTAAACTATAGAAACGGTAAAATGGGGCTACAGTTGTTTTTTTGTTTTTTTTAATCGCAGGACATTTTGAACCAAGCCGGGGTACAGAGCCGAACCGTGGTCCTCTATTTCAGAGTTTTTTAGTTGTTTTTTTTGACATGAAAACTTAGGTTAATAATAAATAAATCCACCTCACCAGCTAGACGGTTTGTAAACAGAAGTTCAAAGACAAAATTCTAAAGATGGCTGCGCTCTTGTCTAGGTCTATACTTAAAATAAACGAGTGGAATGAAAGATGGAGATGACTCATTGGTCATGCCTGATGAATATAACCTGCATTTAGAAGAAAGCTGTATATCAGAAGTTACCCTTATTAAAAAAGTGTGCTGGCAGTCATTCATTTAAAGGGATTACCTCATTAAGGACCACATGCATTGAACACAGCTGCTCTAATTACTCCCCTATACCTACAGTATCACTATGAATCATCACTATAGCTACGATTACCATGTCACTATCGGTGGAGATTGTGTAGTTTATCCAATATCACCATTAACATATTTGTGAAATATTTATATATCCTGCAAAACTGTTTAATTTCTTCGCCTAACCTATGTTTGTTTTTATTTTGTTAACAGGATTCTGGCCACAGCAGGAGCCCATATGAATATTTCATTAGACCTGCGAACGCTGAGGGCTGTGAGGGTATTACGGCCCCTTAAACTGGTTTCTGGCATTCCTAGTATGTTTACAAATCTATATGAAGTTCTTAATCACACTGTGTTATTTAGTATTACACTGCATCCTAATTGGGGGCAAAGCAATAAAACAAGAAGACATAAATCCAACCGCAAAAAGTTATATGACTCTCCTGGTGTGAAAACACACAAGGACATTTTTATAATAATAAAGTTAATACTAACTTTCTAATTGCATCATTATGTTTGTACTCCAATTCGTTCAATATAAAATTAAATGGTGATTATTCAAACATACATTAAATATTGAAGTAAAAATTATAATGAATATGTAATATGGTGCATATATTTGTCAACATGCTCCTCTAGAGTTATTTATGGTGAATGTAACATTACATGACATATTATTCATAGACTGTTTTATTGGCATCTTTTGGTACATTATCAGTGGTAGCAGTTCAGACAAATATCACGTAATGTATGTCTTTACAATGATTTGTTGGTATACAGTACCAAGGGAGGCTAGAACCTCTGCAATGTATTTTTTATCATCACTCTAACACACTGAAAGTGAAATACTCTATGGTGATTGGTAACATTATTCACCAATGGAGGCAAAAGTCTTTGGCTATGGATTTTGCTGTGCCTCCCTTGCATTCTCTCACAAGCAGCCACTGATAATGACCTCAAAACACTTTTAGCATTGTACATGATTTGTAAAGTAATAAATTTTTGACATTTACATCACATAGCCAGCTCCATATTAGTGGCTTTTCTGATATACTGAACTTGGTCGGTAGCTCACTTGCTACAGTTGGGGAGCACACAGGGACGAGTCCCATGGGACACTAATCATGCTAAAAGAGTTTAAAGACTTGTTGAAGCAGCAAAAATGGCATAATTGCTTCACCAAATCTGTTGTCATCACATGTTTGCCTATTCATTGTTTACTGTAGGTTCGCGAAACATGCAAGAAGCGCAATATCATTTTGTAAAAATGTTGCAATGGGCATGTTTTTCCAATGAGCCTAGGTTGAAATTTTCATTTAAATTATGTGTGATTGATACTAATGTTTATGTTTGATTGATATATATATATATATTTTTTTTATGTTTTTTTAGGTCTGCAAATAGTTCTGAAATCCATAATGAAGGCAATGGTGCCACTGCTACAGATTGGTCTGCTGCTGTTTTTTGCCATTCTCATGTTTGCCATTATTGGACTAGAGTTTTACAGTGGAAAACTCCACAGGCAATGTGTACCAGGCACTAAAAGTAAAGCGGGTCACACACTGACAAGTAAGAACATGCGCTGACCAGATATACATCTTTTAATTTAAATTTATGTCAGATGTTGGGATCCGGTGTAAATATTTTGAATACTAAAAAATAAAGAACATTGGAAACAGACCTTCACAAAAATTTCAGTGGGAAATTGTTTTATAAAAAAATATTTGGTTTCTCTGAAAGCTGCCGTCCGTAAGTTTTTGGGGTTACATATGATCCAAAATACATATTTGAGAAAATACATAACCAGCTTGTGTTCAAAACTATCTGCTTGCCTAAGCTCTATTCAAAACGGTAAGCTTGATTTCAATTTCAATTCAATTTGATGGCGGATCCAGAAAGGTTCAAAAGACAATCACCAGTGACAACAGGAGACTCACCCACTGACTTCGGTGTGTCTAAACAGAAAAAAAAAGACTGCAACCGGACCCATGCGAAAACAAGGATACGTATCGGAAGCACATTACATGGAGTCACGCAGAGTGGACGTTGTTAACATTAACAATTTGAGAACGAAGTATAGTTTGCATGGTTTTTCGTAATATGGTAAGCGATTTTATTAATTTAATCTGTGTGATTTACGGCAATGTCAGAACCAGAACAAAAGTGGATGTTTCTTACTTGTTCAGATGACATTTTCCGATGAAAATTCTTATGCTCATCAGTCACACTTCCAAAATGAATAATCTGTAATTCTGAATGCCACTATCCACACTGGCGTGGCGACTGACAGCTGCACACTCTCCTCAAACATTGTGTTTATCCGCACTGTGTCGTTTCGAAGTATAACCCACGTAAAGTTGATGACTCCGCGAATGACTGCAATTGCCGATTTCGAACAGAGATGGCGACAAAAAGAAAAAAAACTGTGGACTGCAGCTTTAAACCAACCATCTAGCATCTTTTAGGGTCACAAATAACTCATTCTTATAAAAATAAATTACCATAATAGACATGCAGTATTAAAATATGAGATTAGTATTGACAAGAATATTATTATTATTTGCGTGAAAAAAAAAAAACAACAGGTTCCCAGGTCTATACAGACCTGGGAATCAAAGTCTTGCCTCTTTATGTGGGCCAAAATCAAAATTAAACAAACATTTGACATAGATGCAATAAACAAAATTAAAAAGTATACTATACATTTATAATTCAGTACATGAAGAAAAAAAAGTATTTGTCTCTCTTATTTCCTCTAGACTTATCTGAATCTGATCAATGTGGGTTCAAGAAATGTGCTGAAAATTTTACCTGCAATGACGAATGGCCCGGACCCAATGATGGCATCACTCAGTTTGATAACATCCTATTTTCCATACTCACTGTCTTCCAGTGCATCACCATGGAAGGGTGGACAGCCATACTCTATTATGTGAGTTTCTGCCTCAGCTGATTTGTAGCAGTTCTGTTTCTGTGTTATAATCCTAATTAATAAAAGTATATTCTTAATGTAATGAAATGTTTAAGCATTAATTCACTGTTAAAGATTTTTGTTTTTAGACTAAACAAATCATTAGCATATGTGTTTCATTAGCAAATCTTTCACATTTTTTGCAGTTTAATAACTCGTTATGTTATGTAATAATGTCTTCCTGAAGAATTATAAAGAAAGGTTTTTGTTGGTACCATGGCTTTTTCTTTTGCATTTGTACTGGGAGTCGTTGATCCTTGGTGCTCATAAAGGCAGAATAGTTTTGCTTTGTGTCTTAATTCCATTCCTTCTCTTCTCCCCCAAAATAATAAATGGCAAAAGAAAAATCTCTGGCCTACAGGCCCATTTTAGCTGAAATAGATGTCATTGGTTGATGAACTTCCTCCAATCTTGCAGCTGTGACCTGGCATACTTGTACATGGATTTTACACACAGTATGCAATACGGTGTAGCTTTCACCTGATTTCTTATCCTCTCACAAGCATTTTGTGATTTTATCTCCAAATTTCTCCAAGCACTGGAAAATGAGAGGTGTTAGACATAGTCCTAACACTGGAGCTTTTGGTGAAATGAGCTTAGGTGGTTGACTTTGAACATATATATGCTGAGCCGGCTCCGATTTTGACTTTTTATCGTGCTGGTTTCTGAGCATGGACGTCTGGAGGAGAACTTCCTCTGACTTTAAAACAATCATGCATTTTTAGTTTGAGATTAATTTATGTTTATTAAAGGGGTCATGACATGACAAATCGAATTTGCCTTGATCTATAGACCATTTTGCAAGATGTAAACAACACTGTCTGGTCCAGAAACACTTCCTGTTTCAGTTTGTAACTGTTTTCTTTATTTCACATGTAAAGAAAACATCTTAAAGATGTTTGTTTAACTTTTTGATTCAGTTGTATATGTTCTGTTGGTTGTATTTTATCCCAGCTTTTATGTAGTGTTAAAAAACTGAAACAGGAAGTGCTTCTGGACCAGTATTGTTTACATCTTGCAAAATGGTCTATTGACATATTAGAGGTACCATTCAAAAATCATGCTAGTTTATCATAAACAACACATTTATTTAATTAAGCACCAAAAATGTCTCGATTGGATACTGTGGGATTTGTGACGTCACACAGGCAAATACATTTGCATATGCCTGACTCCAGAGCAAGGCATCGATGAATAGTTTTGCATTATTGCACCATAGGTCCACTGGCATCCAGTCACGTAACGGCTGACATTTGCCTACAATGGATGTAAAGGTTGCGTTGCGTTCAAATAGACCTGTGATTCACTTTTGAGTTGTGACCCAATGCTTGATAAACACGGGTTTAATCCCCTCCTGGAGCTAAAATATATTATTAAAATTTCAGTCAGTAGATTAGGTTTCACCTTGTAGAAATTATTCGTTGTGAGTCTAGCTAATTACATTAAAATAAATGTAAAAATATCATGATCTTGTACTTTTGAATGTCTGGAAAGTTAATTTGAAAATTCTTCGATCAAATCTTCTGGGAATTCTGCTTGTTAAAGTACTGTTTCTTTTTTCATAATCCAAAGAAAACACAGATATATTACTTAATAATACGCATTTATTTATTTATTATTGCATTGGACAGTACAGACGTGAAAGGAAGCATTGTGGAGAGATAGGGGGATGGGATAGGAAAGTCGGGATCTGAAGTGCAACCACGCGATGTGTCAGAGCGCTGTCCACAATGCTGTCAGCTCTGACATATAATAATACATTTTACTAATATATCATGCTGGTTTATCCAAGTCCACATTGTTTTTAATTATTCATGTGGTGTCAAACATGTTGACGTGAGTCATGCTGCCACAGTTAGACTTTTTTCACACTCATAACTGAGCTGTTGCAGCTGCATCGGGATGTGGGGAACACCCTCTCAGCTCAGCTGGGCGATGATGCCACCTTCCCACGCAGTGATCACACCCTTTGCATGGCAGAGCAGAGCCTCGCTGAAACGTCACCATTACAAGGGCAATTTTCAATCAAGGCATTGGTTTTCAGACCTTTTTTTAATTTAGGAAATTTAGGCATTATAATACTACTGCAAATTCAAAGTATTACTTTCTTTGTTTTGAAGATTAAGAACTGCGCACTTCCTGTTTTGTGTTTCCACAGACCAACGATGCCTTAGGCCCTACATGGAATTGGCTCTACTTCATTCCTCTAATAATAATTGGCTCCTTCTTTGTCTTGAATCTGGTATTAGGAGTCCTGTCAGGGTGAGTACTGTTTTCCTCAACGAGCTCTAAGACAAACTGACACTACATCTAACATGATGTCTGAGCCGACCCAGGGTAATGAGTTTTATCGGAGATTAATGTGAAATGTATTAACTTCATTTCTAGAGACAAGAGGTAAAATTTAGTTACTTCACACACAGCGACCTTATCTCTTTCTCTTTCTACACATCTCTCTTTTCTCTCTTTTACACTACCAGTCAAAAGTTTGCAATAATTGAGTTTTTTTTTTCTTAAAATGTTTTTTTTTAAAGTCTCATAACCACGAGGCTGCATGTATTTGAACAAAAATACAGTAAAGCAGTAAACCTGTGAAATATTATTATAATTTAAAATGTCTGTTTTCTAGTGTAATATACTTTTAAATGTCATTTATTCCTGTGATTGCAAAGCAGAATTTTCAACAGCCATTACTGAAGTTTTCAGTGTGTCATGATCCTTTAGAAACATTTTCCACAATAATATTTAGCAGCAAAGAAAAGTTTCTTGAGCACCAAATCAGCAAGGATCATGTAACACTGAAGACTGGAGTAATTGGCTGCTGAAAATTGCCATCACAGGAATACATTACATTTTATAATATATTCAAAAAGGAAACAGTTATTTGAAATTGTAATAACATTTCACAAAATTACTGTTTTTTTTTAACCAGCACTGCTGGCTTCGGAAGTAATTTTTCCATTAATTTTTCCATTTGGGATTTAAAAAAAATCTTTGTTAAAAAGTTATAAGCACTGAACCAAGCCAATCAGCTATGATGTGAATCACAACTCTACAAACTCTACAAAAATGTTTTTGACTTTGTATTTAAAGGACAACTCAAAATGAACCTTTGGTCTAATAACACATTGGTACCTAGTCAACCATTCTCTGAGATTTGTTTTCATGATAATTGAATATAAAGAGTTGTATCTCTAAAAACTGTTTTAGCTTATTATGCTAGTATATACGGCACAGAGTAATGAAAAATAAAAATCATAAGGCTCAAAATAGCCCCACACTAACACAGTAGCATAATGAGGGTCCCCACATGCAAACCGAAGCATTGAGAACTTTGTAAGTGTACAGACCGTTTAATAAGATGATATTTTATACAGACCTGCAAACTTGTCGCTTTTCGGCGACAATTGCCGTTTTCTTGGTCAGTTGGGTCATTTACGTGAATCGTGTAGAACCCGTGAGTTATTTTGGGGGGTGGTGGCGCGAGAGAAAAGAGGCACGGGGTGATCGAACTTTTGTTCATACAGAACAACATTCAGTCTGCAAAGTGTTTACTTATATTTCTGTAGGCCTATACTCGCACACCATAGAAGAAGTCATCTTAAAGGCATATCAACATGTCATGAACACTACTTAACACTAAGTGGCCATTACAGAGTTCCATCTTTTGGACATTCATCATATCGCATTGGTTTTCATTTCTTGTCTTCAAAACAGAGCACTAATTTATTTTTTTTCATTCTGTAGGTGAAACACTTTTAAAAAATTAAGTGTGTCCCATCCCTCTGGTTCTTCTCTGTGTGGGTAATTGTATGTTGTTTACTCCTGCAGAGAGTTTGCCAAAGAGCGTGAGAGAGTGGAGAACCGAAGGGCTTTCATGAAGCTGAGGAGACAGCAGCAGATCGAGAGGGAGCTGAACGGGTATCGGGCCTGGATTGACCGTGCAGGTACTCTTACACACTGAGCTGGTGAATGAACTGGCAAAACTAATAAATAAAGTAAATCAAATCTGTCAAAACACTGTGCCAAAGCATCGCCCCATTTTACATCGGATGCGGAGTACTGTTCAAAAGAGATACACTTGTGAAAGAGAATGCATGCAAGTCTATTTTGCTTATAAAATTATATTATCAGTATAAAGTAAAAAGCTGAAGTGAAAAACATATTATGTATTATGTACCCCTTTTGTTTTTTAATCTCTCAAGTACTATGAATGCCACACATTTGTGTAAAACCTAATGATCATGTTCTCTAGCATTATTTGAGAATGATCCAAAGAGCATCTTGTGCTTCAATTGAAAGTTCACATGGTCTTTCACAAATATACACGTTTAATTATTAATCTAGAAATAGCTCAGAATCTTTTTTTTTCTTAAATATCTTATATATTTCTTATTCATTCATTTCTTTACTAAGGATTAAATCTATCCAGGATTAAATTCGATTTTAAATGACATTGTATGTTCACAACTTGTTTCAAATATAAATTCATTTTTTATTTTGCAGAGGAGGTTATGCTTGCAGAAGAGAGCAAGAATTCAGGACCTTCTGCTTTAGATGGTGAGATGGTTGACCTCTGTTGTTTTTCTCTCTCATTTTCCCACGTAGATTGTGGGATGCAGGTTTTAATTATGTGTCAGGGTCATGTGATTATTTTGAACACCCTTAGAGCAGTCTACACTATACATCCTAGTAAATGTGCATTCTCTCCGTTACAGATTTTATCATTTATCAGAGTCCTGCATGTTGGCGGGTGAAATGCTAAAATTTGATGTAATCAAATAAGGTGGAAAAAGACTTGTTGGCCTTTCTGGTGCAGGTTGGGAATTAATAGGCCTTAAGAATGATTTTTTATTTTTTTTTGCTAAAATATCCCTGATATTAAATGACAGTCATGGCTCATATTTGGCTACATGTTCTTTTAATTAATGGAGACCAATGAGGGTCTGTATAGCCTATGGTGTAAGTTATGCACATTTGTTCAAAGTAACCTGTATGGGCAGATTGTTCACATGATGTAGGCAAAAGTTTGTATTGTTTACACGACAGGTGCACAGTCTCATATTTTTTACTCTTAATTATTACCATGTTGGGGTGCATATTTTTCTCTGCCTCAACTCAAAATGCCTAATATTGGTTGGATTGCTTGTGTTACATGAGAAAAATAAAAAAAAATTTGTCCACCTGATGGAGTAGATTTAAAACAGGTGCGGTTCGGGTCACGATCTTTATGTCAAATGGGTCGGGTCGGGTACGTAATTAAATTAGTGCTGCTGTCGGATAACAGGTCAGGCAGGTACGGGTTTACCAAACAGGACCTGTGCAGGACCCTGTCATTTATTCAGTAGCCTGTTCTTGTCACATAAACCAGCACAGGGATTATATATTCAATAGACTTATGTCACAACAAAAAAACATGATCCTTGCGTGCATCTGTGAAGCGAAAACCCATCCGAACCCTGTATAAGTTGACAGATTTTCCCTAGAATCAGACAAGGGTGTTTTTTATTAAATGGTGATTGACAGCTTCCCAGAGGCTGTGTGAATGGAAAACAGGCAGTTACCATGGTGAACTCCTATTTCGATACCCCTGCTGTTCTCCTGCAAGTGTGATAGTCCCATCATACCATTAAGGACAATTATCTTGAAAAATTTGACCCTATATGGAAAAATATTTTTAGAGGGTCAGGAGAGACTGAGACCTATTCTGGCCCTTGTATATGGGGTTTGACAGCAATAGGTATTCAGATAGCACTCTGAAGAGTGTTTAAAAAATAAAATGTACAGTAATTGCAGGGATGTGTATTTACTTCATTGTTGCCTTGACAGCAGCATAATATAACAAGTGGCTTTATTTGCTTTTCTATTATTATGCAAAATTCACTTCTGAATGAACCTTAAAAGGCCGCCATTTCTGTTTCTTGTTAGTTAGTTAGTTTATTTCACAATAACTCAGTACATTTTACTTCGACAGAAGCAGTTGTTGGGGTATACATAGTATAGACAGAAGCAATATAAATTATGCAGTACATCACACATTACAATTGCAACTACTACTTTAGTACAACTTAGATCAATGTAACTTTCCCAACAACTGATCAGGAAAACAGATATATTCTATTGTGAAAATGGATCCCCAAGAAGCAATAGCTTATAAATAGGGGTCCATCCCACCATTTCCTCACTGTAGCAGTTGGAGATATACAATGTTTGCACCAAAATAAAAAAATTAATCAACAACTACATAAATGTATCCACTAACTTTTCAGAAACATCCAGTTAAATTGAAAAAGTTGTAAGTCTCTCTATCAGTGTTTGACTTCTGTTCGAACATGTAAGGCTGAACACAGCTACAATTTCTGTCATTTTGTTTGCGTGACATTTTCCAGTTTTGTTGTTGCTGAAGTATCTGTAGCATGAGCTGCAAAGGTCCACCCACTTCTGGAACACCAGAGACTTACATTACATCTTGTGAAAATTAGCATAATAAGTCTCCTGTAAGTTATTTCATGTAGATGTCGAAAAAATATTTTAGCATCATAAATGTTTTGAATATTCTAACTTTGTGAAAGCATTTGTGAAATGCTCACCTGTTTGGCAAGTTTTTGTCATGTTTTGACAATACAGAGTAACCCTACTCAGGAGCAAAATTCTGCCTTTAAACTTGAAATAAATAAAGATTTGATATTTATCGTGATAATTATCGATACTGGCTGATATTAAAGTTTTTTTTTGGCCATATTGCCCAGTCCTATCGTGCGCTAACCTGGCTTGATGCAACAAGTTTCTAACGACGATATGTAGTTTTTCTGTCGCAAAATTCACAGCAAAATCATTGGCAGTCAGTTCATGGATAGAAAAAAAAACACTTCATACAAAGTTAATCTTTTAGTAATTTGCTTTGGTTTCAATACAATAATAATATAAAAGTCCATTACATTTTCCAGTCAACATGGTTACTTTATCAGACTTTTTCTCACACAGTATAATTCTTTATATTAAAAGTCATGAGACTTTTGCAGAAACATTGTGAAAGAAAATACATACTCGTTTGATTTTTGCAGATGACAGAAATGCAATTCATCCGACTGTCAATATGCTTTTCTTTATAGAGGTTTGGTTTATTAATTTGTTAATTTATTTAGTTGAGAGTAAAATAACTATTGCATATTAAAAGATAATAAAATATAAATTATTTGGCTTCTATTCTCAGTGCTAAAAAGAGCCACCACCATAAAGAGAAGAGGGGTGGATGATGTTCGGAGAGCTCCAGAGGAACAGTATGCTGACATCTCGTCTGTAGGTGAGTGGCTTCCTCCCCCAATTCAACCTCATATCCTATCTAAATGATGCCCCGACCCTCAAAATACAGTGCACATTACCTGTGTGTCAGTATGTTTTCAGATTTAATTCACATGGAACTGAAATAATATGCTAATTCATTCAAGAAGTATACAAAAGTGGTTTTAATTTGTTTTTGTTTTTTTCATCAGGGATGCCATTGAACAGAGTCAGCATACGCAGTGCTAAACGAGGACCTACATCCTATTTCCAGCGGAAAGAACGCATGCTACGGATCTCCATTCGGCGTATGGTGAAGACTCACACCTTCTACTGGATTGTTCTGGGTCTGGTGGCCCTCAACACTCTTTGTGTAGCCATCGTACATCACAATCAACCTCCGTGGTTGTCTAGTCTTCTCTGTAAGACCACAATCAAAATGAAACTTTTCTCGCTATGTGTATGCTCTCATACATGATAAAAAGTCATAATCTTAAAGCAGTACCTTTCTATTGCAGACTATGCAGAATTCCTGTTTCTGGGTCTGTTTCTTACTGAGATGTTTCTGAAGATGTATGGACTCGGGCCCAGACTCTATTTCCACTCATCCTTTAACTGCTTTGATTGTGGGGTAAGTGTATTTTCTGTCTTCCTTCCCATAATCCTCTTTCAAATGAAGATGGCACAACAGGGCAAGTGTTGAAGTGGAACAAGGTGGTGACTCCTAAAACTAGTGTTCAAAACAAGAAGCATAAAAGACATTCAAAGAAATAAGAGCAGATGAAACTGTAGATCTTATTGGATCTTTTAACACTCTGAACGCATCTCTAATTTCTTTGTAAATCGGAGGACCCAGCTCTGAATATCAATATGTTGCTTAAAAACTAATGAAAATTCAGTTTTAGTTCTGGACTGTGCCACTTAATATATAATGATTTTCTATTGGCTAATCTTTATTTTTAATCAGATCATTTGTAGCTGACTCTTTCCATGATTACCTATCCCATTACAGTTTTCTGTTTTAAAACTATGAAACTTGTGTGATCAAATATCATCTTATAATTAGTTAATCTAACGTAAAAAGTAGCTGGTTTTAAGTCTATCATTTAATTGGTCAATTATTGAATTATTTAAATGTCTGTATGGTGACTTTGGCCCACATCAGAGGTCTTGACTTTATTGAATGTAACCAACAATCTGAACTCGAGGTTAAATACATAAATATCTGATGAATTGATATTGAATTGATATTGAAATGATATTGAATGATATTGAGAGAGTTGAATATAAATGAGTGTTTAAGGTGCAGTCACATTTATCATTGTTTAGCAGGTGAATTTCAGTAGTAATCCATGCGATCGGGGATTTTGCATGAGGGCGAAAGATGTCCCCTTGTAGCTTTGCAATGAGTTCAGGTTGATCACACAGAATCATCGCATGAACTATTAAAAAGTATCTTGTGTTGAAAGTGAATTCTGTTTGAGTTGTGTTCCATACATCGCTACACACTCCACAACAGACAACGGACCTTTTTTCCTGTGAAATCTTTAAGTAATTTTGCTAATGTGACTGCACCTTTAGACAGTATTTTTGGACATGGTGTAATTCCTGATTTCCTTCCAGGTGATAATAGGGAGCATTTTTGAGGTACTCTGGGGGTTCTTCAGACCTGGCACATCCTTTGGGATCAGCGTTCTGCGTGCCTTGCGGTTGTTGAGAATTTTCAAGGTCACCAAGTAAGTGCAAGCTTGCCTGAAATAACAACCCTTTGGGTTTGTTTGCCTCTTCCAGAGGCAATAATCTGTTTATTGACTTTGCTCAGTTCTGGATGTCCCTATGTTGAACTTGAGATGCTGCATTTATCTGCTGTTAAGGTACTGGGCATCCCTGAGGAACCTGGTTGTATCTCTGATGAACTCCATGAAGTCCATTATCAGTTTGCTCTTCCTGCTTTTCCTCTTCATTGTGGTCTTTGCACTGCTGGGCATGCAGGTCTTTGGTGGAAGGTAATATCTAACCAGTCTGAGCACAGACGACCCCTGTTGACATAGTTTTAAATTTGGATTTTTGTATAAAAATATCTGAAAGCTACACCTGTAGTTTTGAGTAGAGCTATGCAGCGGAGCCAATATCCATATCTGTAATCTCAAAATTATTCGTATCTGTAATAGATTAAAACCGGAAGCAGACAGGCTTTAACCATAAGTCCGTAAAATTACTTAAGAAGTTTTAATTGTAATTCTGTTCTCTTCATAGTTATCAACAAACATGCCTTGTATAACTAATAAAATAATTATTTTCTTCATTATAATTATAATCTTTCTTTAAATAACTTCTAATAGTCAGAGCCTATAGTCTCGTAGGCAGTACTCCGACATGTATCACAATTGTGCCTTGGGGAAACATCCCTATCCTGATTAATAAATAGATGTTTAGAGATGGAAACATGGCTATTTGATTTGCGATTGCGCTGTGTTCATTTCATTCATAAAGTTTACCCAAATTCACTTCACACTCATTATGGCATAGTTATTTAGTGGTTTATGTATAACAGCGTGCTATCCCCTGGCTCACCTGTTATTATCTAGCAAACATGAGCAGTGACTGTGTCTGCTGAATATTTACCTATTATTCGATACAATTATTTGAGTTAATCATATTTGAAGCCATTATCTGTGCCTTTCCGAATAAGGTATTTGGCTACTGGCACATCCCTAGTTATGAGCTGCCCTTTTATGTCATATGCAATAACAGTAAAAAATCGTGAGCCTGCTTTGTGTTCAGTCCACCATATTAAACATGCCAACAAATTTCATGCTAAAAAGTAGTGCTTAAAGTAGAACCATAACCCTGTGTGACAGGTGTAGCAAGACAATAGATAATAGATCAGGTTCTCCAGTTGGTGAAAAGCAAATAATCTATAATTCAGTAACCTGGTCCGACACATATTCAATAAAATGGCTCGCACACAGATGTCACATTTTCTTTCTTTTTTCTTTTTTCCCCCTCTCTCCACAGGTTCAATTTTGAAGACTATACACCAACTAATTTTGACACTTTTCCAGCAGCCATCATGACAGTGTTTCAAGTAAGATTCCAACCAGTTGTAATCTAAGTATAATGCATGACTCCGGATGTTTCTAAGTGAAAAAATAGCTTAGAAGGAAGACTCATTAATTAGACCAAGATTTAATTGCACAGATAAACAGGAAATTTGGATCAGAGCAAGAACAAAAACATACTTAGTCGCTAAACAGAATCTGTCATCCCTTTATTAATGATGAAACTTCATAAATATACAGCAGTCCAGCACAGAAAAAAAAACACACCCTGAAATATAGATAGTAGTAGGCTTAAACAAAAGGTGTTGATTTTGTTTCTGTGGCAATAAGTGTAATTCTGACGAATGGACCTAAATTCGGTAAGATATGTTATTGCACTCCACTTATTGGTAGCTGAATTAGCCAAAATATTTGAAGCAAGCAAACATGCATGGGGAAGAATTTGTTGAATTTTAGTGTTCCTATTGTGTGAAACTATGAGGAGATCTCTATTGAGTTACTTGGGCACAGATTCCATGTGGGCCTGGAATAAGTTCACAGTGTTTCTAGATTCTCACTGGCGAGGACTGGAATGAAGTCATGTACAGTGGCATCCGGTCTCAAGGTGGAGTGAAGTCAGGGATGTGGTCATCTGTCTACTTCATTGTTCTGACTTTGTTTGGAAATTGTATCCTTCATTTATTATTTCTCTGTTTTCCATACAGGTATATCCTATCTGGTATATAGCATATACAGTATTAAATTTACTTAAATGTTTCTGTGAAAATATGAAGATGTGGTTGTGATTCATTTGAACAGTTTCAGTGCTGTTTCACTTATGCTTTCTGGGGAGGTTATCTTAGAAAAAAATGATTTGATGTTCTTCAGGGTTTCACTGAAGTCTACATGAAATCAAAATTTGGTTAACTTTCAGTCATAACTACAACTTTATAGTCTTCCATCAAAACGTAACTTCCTCTGCTTTTTACCTTGCATTACTAAGCTTATTTCCTTAAACTTTCTGACCATGATTAGTGCATGTTGACTTTAAAGTCTGTGCTGGTATTATAATATGAATGTGTTATTCTTAGTTTTGTTGGTTATTTCTGCATAACTCATTGTTTTGAGTCAAAATCCTTGATAAAATGGTCAGATACACTACTCAACGTCTTCTTGGCTATCGCTGTTGACAATTTGGCCAATGCCCAGGAGCTCACAAAGGTATATCCAGCATGGTTCTTTTAGCTTTATATGTTTAAAGGATTTGTTAGGCAGTTGAATAATGGATAACTCTTTGCTATTCCAAAGGATGAAGAGGAGGAGGAAGCGGCGTTTAATCAGAAACATGCCCTGCAAAAAGCCAAGGAGGTTGGGCCCATGTCCTCTTTCATGTGCTCAGAGTAAGTGAACCAAGTATATCCTTGCCTGCTGCATTTGCCCTCTCACAGAGATGCTAATATACCAACTAACTAACATACTAACACCAATCTTTTGTCTGGGATGTTTTTTAGTGTGGTTTCAGAGATAAAATTGGCACATATGCCAAAGTATACCTGTAGGACTTTCCAGCATCAGTACCTGGCCAAGTTTACTTAGATGAACATGCTAAACATTAGTCAGGGACATTGCTGTACTTTTGTTAGAATATGTAAACAGTTTAAGTTTTTGCTTCTACAAATACTGTATCTCTTTCGCTCTGTACCCTCCAAATCAAACGTTACACAGTTGTTAACCCAAGCTAAACTGAACAGATTTGAATTTATTCAATTATGGGATGCAAATTCCTGCCTAATGAGAGTAAATTAGAAATAAGTATTGAAACTTTGGGGGCTTCGCTTTCCCGGCAAGTATGCAAGAGGCAATTACTTGAGACCAACAAGACTGTGTTGTCCATTGTTGAGGGTTGTACACAATGTTCTTTCGGTTGATTGCGTAGGGATTTTTTTGGGCTCTTTATTCTTGAAGCACGATAATTTGCTTCAAAATCAACAGCAAGTTGTCATAGCAACCGGCAAGCTTCCCAGTCTTTGCAGGGATGAGTCTATTCTGTTGTCATAGAGACTATTTTGTTCCCATCAAAAGGAGAATTACAGAGTTTTGAATGCCTTTACATTGGTCAGCCAAGATATGTATTTGTATGTTATCTCCTTTGCAAGAACAGAAGAGTCATCCAGCTAGCCTTAATCTCAAGACATAAAAAGAGAATCAGATGTCTAAAATTGGAGATTAAAGTTTCTATAACCGGAGCTCACACTTAGATGCATCTTTCTGTGATTTTGGGAACTTAACACTGCATGGATGTGATGTCAGACTCCTGGAGTTGAGCATGTGCAAGCCTGGATGACTGGCTATACTGTATGTGTCCTCCTCAACGTTACAATCCAATCACCTTTACATCTCTTGATTGATCATAGATACTTAGATAGATACATAGATACATTTAACATGACTTGAGAGAGTTTGATTTGCTGATGCTGATTTGAGTGAGTATATCACTGAATTTCCTGCAAGTATATCACTGATATCATATATCATTTCCTGTAATTCACCTCTACAAACGTGTTGTTTTATGCTGGAGGTGATAATAGGGTTCTTTCTGAACCCAGTAGCAGTACGTGCCGTAACTAGAAAGGCCGAAAAGATAAGCCAAGATTTCAGTCAAGAAATGTAAAAGCAGGATCCAAAATTAACTTTTTGCTACACCTGCCTATGGCGAGTAATATGAGAAAAATTAATGGAGTTACGTACATTTAGTCCTTTTAACAATTGAATTATTTAGCTGTTTTCCTTGCCTATAGGCTCTATACACGAACCCCGCTGACATTTGTCCGATAGCCAGCTTCTTTACATCCGCAAAGCGCATTCTGCAGGCAAAGTGTATAGTGGCAAAACTTTAAAAAAAATTATTTTCTCAGAAAAGGAGACACGGATTTTAGAAACTGATTCGCTAGTCAGATTTCGCACGATATGAGAGAATACTCAGCCTCAAAGTTGTCGATGTAGCTCGAAATATATAATTTAAAGCCCTTCTCTTTTTTACTCTTATGTGTGACAGCTAACTGCCTCACAGTGTTGTTAACATCATTCACGTTGACCACAGCACGTTTTTAACAGTAAGTGTAATTTGCCACTATCTCCACCTAATGCAAAACCGGCTTCTGACAGCACCGGATATACGTAACTGGACGGGCTGAGACAAACCCGGAAGTGATCGTGCATAGAGCCTATTAGTGGTATCTTGTCTCAGCGTCATGAACAAGATGAATCAGTTTTCATCTCTGTCATTTTGTGGCTCTCTGTGTCGCCACATGGAGTTCTGAAGAAAAATAATTAATCCCAGCCTCCTAGATGCAATTCTGAAGGCAAGTTTCCCATTGAGATTAAAGTTTTTAAAAGACACATGAGTTGTGTCAGATATGTTTAGTTAGTTAGTATTGTTTGTAAATTTTTTATTTGATTCACTCACGTCTCTTAAATCATTCTTACAGTTTTAATTGAATTGCATCATGATACATAAATTCTTATAGTTACTGGCCATTGGCAAATTTTACACAAATCCAGTTCTTATTTGCATTTGGTGCATGGCACGTGTTATATTTGGACCCTGTGTAAACATTTGTTTTCAAATATATACATTTATATATATTCTATTATTTTTGGCATGCTCACAATTTGCAATAACTAATAACAAATGTTTGCGATGAGTGTTATTGTATAGAAAAGAGGCTTATTTTGCCAGTATTGAGCAATAAGTTTGTATTGAGCAATAAAAAAAATGTTGCTTGACAATCACTGAAAATAAAAACAAACAAAACACTCTGTATGAAGCAATGGAGGCCAGGCCTTTGTCAGAACAAATTGGTATGATGTGAATACCACAGGGTCTCTTCTCTACTGCATTTTGGGAGATAATGTGAGAGCTGGTTGTCAGTGAACTCAGACTGGAAATTGTGGCCTGTGGCATTTGGATTTTGCATGTTTACTTTAAAACTAAACTGGTCGTTTTAGCATGTCCGAAAGTGCTTGACGAGAACTGAGAAATGAATGCATGTCTTCAGTGAGCATGACTATTATTGAGGTCATACCTGGGAAATGCATATGTATGACTAGTTGACTACTAAATTAATCAGGGTGTCTCTCTTTCTGATATTGTGTGCTTATGCATATGAATCCCATTTATATATGTCTTATATCTGTGCCATGTTTCTTACTGTCTCAGCATTTCAAAATGTTCCAGAATACTGTATTTGTTGCTTCTAATATATCTTCCATCATGTTTTCATGTTACGCTTTGCTGCCTTGTTACACAGCCCAAAATTTGTAATTGTTTTAAATCTTTTTGTAACTTTAATTTATTATCAACAATAGTATAAAAAACATTTAAATGTTCAATGTTTTTTTTTTTAAATGACATTGGCATACTATGGCATTTAAACACTAATGAAACAATAAATTTGTCAGAATTTTTGTCAATGACCTTTTTGGGCTGTGATTCTTGGCTTGTTTTGTCCTTGTTCTCGAAAGCACTAATGTCTTGTTTTCAACCAATCGCTCATTGATTACACGGACCTCACAAGAGTACAAGTGCCAGTAAGTAATAGCCTGTTATTTCAATTTTAACATTCAGCACCGCCTAATTTATCAATCTGGGTGAAGCTTTCTGTTCTGCCATCTTTATTAAATGTCTGATTTCACATTTTCAACTCTGATCTTTGGTTGGAATTTGATTTGTCAACTTCCTGCAATGATATTTCACTCTTTTTTCTCTCTCCATTCTGAATCAAATCTATTTCCAGTTTTGCTGTTTCATTTTCCACTTTTATATCGCAACTCTATCCAGTTGTTTTCCATCTCTGCTGTCCTTACCAGCTGGACCATGAATTCCAGTCACACAAAAACACAAAGTCACAAAACGGAATTAAAGGACCCTTTCTACCATGAGTTGCAAAGTATTTGTTAAAAGCAATCTATTGAATATTTTGCACTCAGAAACTTCAGTTCTCATATTCAGCTACCCTGCTGACTAGACCACCTGGTCACCAACATGTTGTTGTTTTTTAATGCTGGTACCCTACACATTTATTAACTTGCCAGTATAATGTTCATGGTGAACCAGTTTTCTATTCAATTTTTGAAGCCAGTGGTTCTCAATTGGTCGGTTGCAGGTTTGTTTGGGAAACTCTAAATATGAATAACTCTAAATATTTCAAAACTCATTTTGAAAAAAAAAAAGGTTTAGTAACTTACAAAAATAAACAAAAATGTTTCATCTGTCTAATAACATTCTACAGTATTTTGATGCAAATTGATCTGTCACTTGGTAGAGGGTGTGTTCAGTACAATAAATCATTGGCTGCCAAGAGCAGGAGACCATCGATATTCAAGATGTTGAAACCAAACATTCAAACTTTTGATGAATACTATGAATAGTTTTCATAGTTTGGTTTTAAGGATGTTTCTGGTTACTTCAAATAAACATTTCTTAGAAACCAAGAAATTAATTAAAAGAATTAATAAAAACCAATAAACCAATGAATGATTTTTTTTTTTTGTATGCTAATCATTTATTTAGGTCTTGACGTCCAATGTCATATAGAGTCTTAAAGCGAAACCAACTGAGAACCACTGGACTAAGCTAGTCATTTCTGAAGGGTAGAAAGGGTTTAGCGCATAATTATTATTATTATTATTTTGTTCTGCTAATGATTAATAAGGTAATAAAAAAAATTGTTGTGGCATGGTTGTTGAAATATTTCTTTTTGCCACCCAGTATCATTGAGTGTCCTCTCTCTTTTTTCCTTAGGAGGAGGAGGAGGCCCTACCTGTACAGAAAGCGTGCAATTCACCGGAGCCGTGCGGCCTACTCCTTCGAGGATTCGGAGAGTCTGGCTGATGCTCGTCCACTCAATGCCTCTAACTCTTTCATGTCCAGGAGAGAGAGAAGGAGGAGGATGACTATGTCAGTTTGGGAGCAGAGGACCAGCCAACTGCGCCGCCACAGGCAGATGTCCAGCCGTGAGATCCTTTTCAGCAGCCCGAGTGAAGAGCACGATGGACCACCTGGCTGCGATCACCACCAGACCACAGAGATATCTCCATCTGACAGCAAGCACAGAGCCATCGAGACCACTACAACCACTGCCATGCCGGAGGCTACCTTAGAGCCACCCATACCTATGGACATGCCTGGGGATGAGCAATCTCAGTCCATTTCTATCCCCGAACCCCCTTTAGCGATTCCAATACCAGAGCCACCAATGCCTGCAGACATATCCCTTCCTGAACCCCCAGTGACGCTGAATCTACCCTTAACAGAGCCGTCTGAATCAAAGACCTCACCCGAGCATTCTCTAGACAACAACCATTGCCCCAGACTGAATGGGAACAGGCGGCAGCGGGCAGTCCGTAAGTACAGGCCTCCTGCGATGGGGGACACACTAACCCCTGATATGTGGCCCAGATCCCGACGCCCACGCCACCGTGAATCTCACACAGATGCAAGGGGCAAAGAGACACAACAGGGAGATGATGGTGTTGACAGTAGAGAACAAAGGCCTGGGAATGAGGGAGATGAAAAGGAATCAAAGAATGATGGAGGGATCAGTCCAGATGGCAGAGTGCTTGAACGGAGGTGATTTGTTTAATTATTTGTTGTTTTGATTCGTATAATTGTAGAAATTATTTACACTACAATTTAAAAGTTTAGGGTCTGCACAATTTTTTAAAAGAAATTAATTTCATGTTATTGTTGCACAGTGTTGTAGAACAGATGTGAAAATCATGGTCCCCACAAACCTTATTTTATTCTAATCAAAAGCTACTTTTCAAAAAAAACCATTCGATTTCTTTGAGGAAACTAGCAAATTGGCCTTCGAGGTCTACCTACAAATTGACAGACTGGACAGCTCTATTCACATCACAACATAGTGACAGCTTAAATACCCAACTATTTTTATGGCCAAGTACACAGTATTCCTTGTTGAGTGTCTGGAGAGAGAAATCGTGCTAATAATTTCTCCCCTTACACAGGCAGAACAAACCAGACAACTCTGAATCAGAGCCAAAACCAGTTAATTCCCCCTGCAAAAACCCACCTCAGGACTCAGAACCTGCAACTCTACAGCTCACTGAGAGCACACTCCAGCATTCCCCACAGCGCACTATGGGTGCCGGCGAGACAGATAACAACAACCACAAATCTTTGAATCTGGATAAGTCATCCCTTAACACCAGCATCATGATAGAAGTCACCGACACTCAGCCATCCATGGAGCTGACCTCCATTACGGGTTTGTACATCCCTGCACCTCTGATAAACCCGATTGATAAGACCGGCTTAATTCTTGCTAGTTAGTATTGGATTGGTGCTGGTCTAGCTAGAGGAGCAGAGCCAAGCTGTTTGTTCACCAGCAAAGACATGGCCATTAGCTTGGTCTTTCTGGTGAAGCTTGATTTGCAAAGGAAATTTTGCTGATTAAGCTAATTAAAATTCCTTGAAACACCACCATCCAATTAGCCTGGCTGCGCCCTCCTACGCACTTCCGCTCAATTTCATTTTACTTCAGTAACTACGTCTGGGATCGCTCCATATCCTTAGGTTTCCAGAAATAATTTTTTTGTAGGACCAATCAGCGAATAGAGGGAGTGGCTGAGAAAGATGACGTTGATGTAAGCGCGTCAGTTTGAGTTCAGTAATGGCAGCGGAGAAAGACGTGAGAAAAGCTATTCGGTCCGTTGTTGGAAAAGAAACTGCCGAATATGCAGAATTTAAAGCCGGATTGTTATCGTCTCACCTCTTGTTGCACAACTGAGGACCAAGTGAAGGAGGCAGAAAGTTTGGAAGTTTGTGCTGGGCAGCTCGTGCACGATGACCGTGACATTTTGGACGGACGGTTTAGCCTGGTGTTCGCGGTGTTCGGAAGCCCTGAGTCCTGGCTGCTAAACTATTGTTGAAGATCCGCTCAGGAGTCATGTCTGTCGCTCATATTCCCAACTGTATATTTACTGATTCTTGTGATGAATAGAACATTTTGAGCCCCTTTGTGCACTCGTGCAGGAGGTTGGTGTGTCAGTTTTACATTTTGTAAATCATACAAATTGGTTGTGATTTTTTTTTTAAATAATTGTCATAAATAAAAATGTGAAAAACCATACTTTGAAGATATTTGATTTTCAGTTTTAGATGGCAATGGTTGATTTGTTTTACTAAAAAAACTAAATGTCACATAAAAATGTACAAACACATACTTTGAAGACCATAATTAAAGGAATTAAGAAACAATAAGACGTAATATGAAAAATTGTTGTTTATTACACATCTGCAGATAGAGACAAGAGTAGCTGTAGCTACTACAGCATTTGCGGCAGATCAGAAACGACCACAGCTGCGTATTTGTAATGATTAGACACAGCTTCCACCGTTGAATGAATATATCACTGTCCTTCGTGTCAAATATACATTTCGAATTAATAATTGTTCCTAGATTAACAAAACCTGCGGCGCTCGTTGACTGAAATCCTATTGTCAACATAATCCTCTGATCATTCGGACTTGTTGTTTCCAGCCATTTCGGCGCGTGACATACGTCACTCACGACACCACGTTAGCGATTGGCTATGGCAGATCGTGAGTGACTTTGGGCAGATCCAATAGATTTGAACTTTAATAGTGAACCCGCCTACAAGGATGTAAACGTTTCTCAATGGAGCGGTTCCAGACTCTATGTGGAAATGAAATGAACTAGAGTCTGGTTGAACCAGGCTACCATCCAATAACATACCTTGATATTTTTAATATCATTGTAATTCAATCATTTTATTTTGTCTAATATATACCTTGATTTATTAGGTAATAGTAAAGACATGGAGGACTCAAAGCCAGAGAAAGAAGAAGAGGAAACCCCAGATGCGCCCAAAGCCCCTATACCTGTCAGCATGTTCATCTTCAAACCCGACAACCCGTAAGGCTGAATGTTTGTCCAGCCACAGCTGTATTCTATATTTTATGAATGTTTTTGCTTCATCTCTCACTCTCTCTTCCTCATCTCTTCCACAGGGTCCGCAGGGCCTGCCACTACATTGTCAATCTTCGTTATTTCGAGATGTCAATCCTTCTTGTGATCACTGCCAGCAGTATCGCTTTGGCTGCCGAAGACCCCGTCAACACTAATTCGGACAGGAACAAAGTAAGAATGCCTCACCACCATTGTGTATACAATAATCATATGTAAATAGTTTTGCCATCTTTTTATATTTTTGCTATAGCTTACAAACAATTCGGAGTATATTTACCTCCATCAATTGACCTGTTTCATTGATAATTGCATTACTAAAGGGTGCATATTGGATAATTATAAGAATATAAAATAAAACAAAGTCTGATGGTACCACTACCTTATTTTTCTTTTATATATACTTTTATTATAATACGTTTATGTTCATCTCAGTGTCACTTTGAAGATAATAAATTCTTCATTTGAGAGGATAAGTCAGATAATTGGCAGACGTATTTGTACACCATTGAGGATATTTATAGATGAAAATATTGATTTTAGGTAATAAAATACCTACAAAAATGTACACATTGTCCCTTTATCAACCCAGTATCATTACAAATACAACATCTATTTCTTATTCTTAAATAGGAATTTATTTTTAATTTTTGGCAATAAAAATAGATCAGCAGACCTGTTTCAGTTTCTTTAGTCTTGATGATATCGTTCCCTGTGGGTCATGAAGTGTTTGGCATTATTCAATAATAGAAATGAGATTTTTGTTGCAGGTTTTAAATTTCCCTTGTGAAAGTGCACCAGCTGTATGAAGCCACAGCTAATTACATGCTAAGACCCTTTCAGTAATAGTTGATGAGATGCTCTAGATGTAGAGAACAGCTGAAGACGAAGCCTCTTTCCCTCTCAGAAACGCACACACTAGGATTTAAATCTACTGTATACAGAAAGAGTGCTGTCACTGCTGTGATGTAGTCAGTAGATCCATCATGAGAATACCAACATTCGGGCTTGATAAAATTTAGCAGTCATTGACAAACAATGCTAATGTCAAGTCCCATGCATGCTGTAGCCTCACATTTCATGTTTTCAAAAGCTGACATTGTTATACATTTTTTATTCGTGTCTATGTTCAATAGGTGCTGCGATATTTTGATTATGTGTTCACTGGCGTTTTCACGTTTGAAATGATAATCAAGGTGAGTTCCTGGATCATTCTTAGGTTCCTCTATGTTCCTTTATAAAGACTACATATAAGGTATTATTTAAATATGCTGTGTATGTTGTTGTTATATTTTTCTCAGATGATTGAGCTGGGTTTGATCTTACATGATGGCTCCTATTTCCGTGACTTGTGGAACATTCTGGATTTCGTAGTTGTGGTGGGAGCTCTGGTGGCCTTTGCTCTAACGTGAGTCAGATTAATCCGAACATGAGAAATTCACGTTTGGTGTTCTGTTGGTCAATCTGAAACGTTAATTAAGATGTTTACGCAGCATTGTTCAAATTTTTTGTTATCCATTAATGCCATGTGATAACACCATGATTTATGTGAGGAAAAGCATTCAGACGTTATTCCTGACACATATTGATGTTAGTGGATGCTCTTTTTTTCTCTGTTGTGAGTGTAAAGCATTTCTGTGTTCATTGAGAAGCTCTCTGGTTCAGAATGCCTGTCTGTTTCTCGTTTGTTTCTCTGTTTGTTCTTCTTGTGGATTGTGGCTCACGGCATCTGACAGGAATGTGATGGGGTAAAAACACTCTGATTTTGTGCCATATAATAATGTGTGTGTGTTTGTTATTCGTACATGAAAAATTGGGCTTTGTTGTTTTGTAAAATATGTTTTTATGCAATACAGGAGTAACACAGGAAGAGACATTAAAACCATCAAATCATTGCGTGTGCTTAGAGTGTTGAGGCCTCTCAAGACTATTAAAAGACTTCCCAAACTCAAGGTATGTGAACATGAAATTAATAATCTACAGTTCAAAAGTTTTGGGTCAAAAGTTATTGTTATTGTAAGTTAGTTTTTTTTTAGTTTTTTTTAAGAAATCAATCATTTTATTCAGCAAGGATGTATTGAATTGTTCTGTTGAACTTTCTATTCATCGATAAAATCCATGGGTTCAGTTATAAAACGGAAATAAAATTAAAAAAATATCACATGAAAACTATTTTCTATTTGAAATAAAATAGGTTCAAGTTGAAGTACTAAAATTACTGTCTCTTACTGATTTTCAGGCCGTTTTTGACTGTGTGGTCACATCGCTAAAGAATGTCTTCAACATCCTCATCGTCTACAAGCTCTTTATGTTCATATTTGCTGTCATTGCCGTGCAGCTTTTCAAAGGGAAATTTTACTACTGTACTGACAGTTCCAAGGACACAGAAAACGAGTGCAAGTAGGTATTACAGCTGGAAAGTAAATTCTAAATATAATGCTAAAATCAATTTAAGCAGCTTAGACATTATTCAAAGCTAAAAAAGACTTTTAGAAAATATAAATGGTGCTACAAATATAAGTATAACTTTTTACGAGCACAAAATCTCTGCAAATAATGTGGAAAATGTTTTTTTCTTAATGTTCTATAGGGGTTACTACATTGACTATGACAAAGAAAAGAAAAAGGAGAAACGAGAATGGAAAAGACATGATTTCCATTATGATAACGTCATCTGGGCCCTGTTGACTCTCTTTACGGTATCCACTGGGGAAGGGTGGCCTCAGTAAGAGCAAACTTTAGTTCATTTTTTCACACTGTATAATTTGACAAATTTATTAACAGCTTAATAAGATTAACGTTCTTCTTAACACCTTTCTAAAAGCTGTGTGCTGATATTTGCATATTCGGTTACTCCAGCTTTGGAAAACTTGCACAACAGCCCCTGTTGTGAAGTGTATTTGGACTTGGGGTGCTTTAAGTGATTTCAGCCATTTTGCTAACCTCCGATCTGCCAGAGTGAATTAGACCACGCCATGCTTTCAACCACTCTAAAACCCATTTACAGACATGTTAGCTTCACACTTTAACTCATTGCAAACAAACCTGAATGCTCAAGCAAATGAAAAAAAGGCTGTAGGCAGTAGTAGCAGCTTTTGCTGGTGCTTCTTGCAGCACCCCTCAAGTTCACACAGGTATTCTAGCAGAGTAACCTCAGTATCATTTGGAACAGAAAAAATAGATAAATGTATATAGATTTGTCCGTAAAAACACTTATTTGGCATTGTAGAGTTCTGCAACACTCTGTGGATGTGACTGAGGAGGACCGGGGTCCCAGTCAGGGGAACAGGATGGAGATGTCCATCTTCTATGTCATTTATTTTGTGGTGTTCCCATTCTTCTTCGTCAACATATTCGTGGCCCTCATCATCATTACCTTCCAAGAGCAGGGCGATAAAATGATGGAGGAGTGCAGTCTGGAGAAAAACGAGGTGACTGATTATTTTGCATTCAAGCTGAGATTCATGTTTAGTAGTGTGCATTGAAGCAATGACACAAACTCAAGGCAACAATTGATTTGATTTTATTTTAAAAAACATACTCAAGAAAAGTCATTTGCACTTAAGGGAATCACTGTTGTTTGAGTGATGCCACTTGTACATGCAGCATGATAGTCTTTTGTAGAAGTATTCTTGTCTTCTTCACTTCAACAATCTCAAAAGACCTTTTGAATGAAAAAAAGTAATTATTTTGACATCCAAATATTTGTGCCTGTATATATTTTCAACACAAATCTTATTTAGCTGCAATTGGCATCGTTGCACTGCACCCTGAAAAATAAACAAATGTTTTTTTACCTCCTGACAATTGCTAGTTAATTGCAAATGTGTTTGAGAAACGGTCTTACTCTATATTTCTCTCTTAGAGGGCTTGTATCGACTTTGCCATCAGTGCCAAACCTTTGACTCGCTACATGCCCCAGAACAAACATACCTTACAGTATCGGCTGTGGCACTTTGTGGTGTCACCCTTATTTGAGTACACCGTGCTGACGATGATTGCCCTGAACACCATCGTTCTCATGATGAAGGTAAGGAGAGATATCACAGCACTGTTATCTCTTTCTTTTTATCAAAATAGAATAATTTCAAATCAGAATCTTTCTATTGATTTATTTGTTGCAAAAAAGTTCTGTGAGCTCTGCTCACGCTAAAAGGATTTTTCAGTAACTGTACCCTTACAAATAATGCTATAGAGATGGAAGGAGACATTACTTGTAAGTAGCTTTGGTTAGAAATTAGAATTTAAATATTTTTTTTTTTAAGCCTGTGAGTATTTCAGGGGTAAAACCTCTCTCTCTCTCTCCGTCCGTCTTTTTGTCAAAATAAATTAGGTTGATTTAGCTGTTTTTCAGTCCCTCCTGGTGTCAGACTCCTGGTCTGTGATACTGCTCGAAAACCAGACAGTCATGAGTCACAGCTTATGAAATATTGATCTGAAGCACCGGCTACTATTTAACTTTTCCTCATTAGCTTTAGCCTGACATCTCCTGTGAGTAATTTCACCTGGAGTTAGAGGTGGGCCTCCACTAGTCATCATGTCTGCAGTGGTCTGCATACATGCTTACTGAGACACAGAGAGTGTAACAGAGCACAGATATTTTTAGATATTGTACTGAAATTTGAAAAGCTCCCATTCTCTCTGTCTGTCTCTTTCATTCAGTTTTCAGTTACAATTTCCAAAGTGCTTTATTGACATAATTTATTGACATTAGCATCAATCAGGTTTCAGTGGAACCTGAAATGCAGGTATTTCATATCAGAATAGCTCTGTTGGAATTTGTGTAAAATAATGCTTACTGTAAACATGATGTGAATGATTTTGTATTGATCAATAAAAACAAAAGAATCGATTTTTTAAAAAATAATTAAATGTTTGAGCCTATCATAGATATTAATTTTCTGTTTTATTGTAGGCTTTATTGAGGCTTTATATTGTTTTATAATCTAATCGTTACCCTCTGAATCGTAATCGAAACAAGTGAAGATTCACACCTCTATTAGGTACTATTATGTAAAAAAAAATAATTAAAGGGGTAGTTCACACAATTTTTTTTATTTTGTTATCATTTACTCACCCTTAAGTTGTTCCAAACCTGTATGTATCTAAACCTGTATAAGTTTTATATGGATATACTGTATATACTGTCAAGCAACATAAGAACAATATAAAACTTATTTAGTTAGTAAAAAAAAATGGTGTAAACATAATTAATTATTCAAGTAGACTTTTTTTGTCTCTTTTTTTTTAATCTCTATCAGCATCATGATCCCCGTCCTAAAGACTATGAAGATGTGCTAAAATACCTCAACACTGTGTTCACTGTTATTTTCTCTGTGGAATGTCTTCTCAAGATCCTGGCGTTTGGTGTCATGGTAAGCTAACACTGGGAATGTGAGACAGTGCATGATATATATCCTGAAATGCATTTACAACATACATTATAAATATTCTTTATAATTTTCAGAATTATTTCAGAGACACATGGAATATATTTGACTTCATCACGGTTCTAGGAAGCATTGCTGAAATTGCGGTTGAAAAATTGCTGAGTGACAAAGTAAGGAATGTGTGTGTTCTGATTAGAGCTGCTCGATTCAGAATAAATTGAGTCACAATTTGTTTCTTCAAAATAGATATATTTGCTATATAATATTGCATTAATTTTTTTTTTTTCGATTTGAATGAATGACTATTAAAAATTTTATCAGTTACTTATCTCCACTTTCTGGAGTAACAATGTAATCAGTACAATCTTTATTTGAACCGTCAAGTTAGGTGATTTACTCTGATTGCTACCTTAGACTTCAGTGTTTCTATCCGAACTATAAACTTTTATCCCAGTAATTTTGTAACAATCTAAATTGTAAGACAGAAATAATCACACTGTGTGGTTGAAAAGACTTTGTTTCATGCCTATACATGACAACTTCTGTTTCTGGATCAGAAGCAGCACCAATGCTGATCTAAATATTCGCTGTGATCGTTCTTGTCATAGGTTTATGTACTAGTCATTTATGAATAAGATTGTGTGGTTGTTTGAATCAAGATTGTGATTTTTTTTTTTTTTTTTTTACAATTAATCATGCAGGTCTGATTCTGAATGATTTGTAGGCAGAAGTTGTTTGCATGAGCAATTATGTCTCTATTTGAAATACTTTTTTGCCTATATTGATATGCATGCGCAAGCTACTTTTGATTGCTATGTTTTCAGTATTTTTTTCCACAAGTAATGACCTTCATATTCTATTGTCTCCAGTATTTATTTGCATAAGCACCACCTCTGTGTTCTGATTGTTTTTTCAGCCTTTTAGTATGGGCTTTCTTAAGCTATTCCGGGCAGCTCGGCTGATTAAACTTCTGCGTCAGGGCTACACCATCCGTATTCTGCTCTGGACCTTTGTCCAGTCCTTCAAGGTCAGACATGTCTTTTACTCCATTGGCATGATATTGAGATCCCATATTCCTCTTTTTATTATTTTATTCTACACACTGATTTTGCTTTTATTTGAACCAAAACCGCTTATTATAAAAAAAAAATCTGTAAGTTTAACATGAGATTTGTTTCGCAGGCTCTTCCGTATGTCTGTTTGCTCATCGCCATGCTGTTTTTCATATATGCCATCATTGGCATGCAGGTAAAGGTTGTCTTTGTCCCTAGACAGTCTGTCTCCATCTTTATATTCTTCTCTCTGTGTCTTCCTTCGTTTCTTTGCCACATTTTCTCTTACTTTAATTTGTTAAGCCTGTAAATGTGACAGACACCTCTTATGTGTTTTTAATCTTACCAAAGGTATTCGGCAACATCAAGCTAAATGAAAAAAGCCAAATCAACTCGCACAATAACTTTAAATCATTCTTTGGTGCACTCATGCTGTTGTTCAGGTAAGATTATGTTTATAATTTCTGCGTCTGTTTTAATGTTCTTTCTTTTTGTTGTTAAAAACAAGTGCTACATGTTGTTATATATATTAATTATTTCACTATAAAACCAATATAATGAATCAGACTACCGTTTGGGGATGAATAAATGTGTCTTAATGTATGATATACATATATGTGTGTATGTGTTTAGGAGTGCAACAGGTGAGTCATGGCAGGAAATCATGTTATCGTGTTTAGGAGAGAAGGAGTGTGAAATAGACAACTCAATTCCTCTCAGCAACTTAACAAAGGGGATAAAAAAAGATTGTGGAACCGACTTTGCATACTTCTACTTTGTATCCTTCATCTTCTTCAGTTCTTTTTTGGTGAGAAGCTATACAGTTTAATGAATACACATCATTACAAACCTTTACACTTAAACCCACAACCTTAAGGCCTTTTCACCCCAAATCCATATATATATATGTATATTATAAAATACATTTATTGGGACATAAAATATATACTGCAAGATTTTAAAAGTTAAAATAAATAAATAATAATAATAATAATAAAATGAAGGAAAACATTAATCTCTGCCAGTGCTTAACACTCTTAAGACCACCGTTCATCCCTGCCCCTTTAAATGCTTGAGCTCTTTAAAGCGAAAAAAATTTATTCTGATTGGCTGTCGATGTTTTTATTGTCATCTGCTGGAATAAATGAAAAACCAACGATAGTGTCTTTGTGCCGTTATAGTTTTAGTGTGTACGTTGCTATTCTTTTACATTTAGAATAATTTTTACACAATAATTCTTTATTATTATCATTATTGTTATGGTCCTTGGTGTGAACAGGCCTTTAAGCTCACTTGGCAACTTGTGCAATTTTACATGTTTTTCAAAGTTAATTTACACATCTCTATTTCTCTTTTAGATGCTGAATCTGTTTGTGGCTGTGATCATGGATAATTTTGAGTACCTGACACGTGACTCGTCCATTCTGGGTCCTCACCACTTGGATGAGTTTATACGGATCTGGGGAGAGTATGACCGCGCAGCATGGTGAGAGATGCAGCTTTCCACTCTTTTCAGTTGATCAAATGCAATACAAATGTTAAAAAAATTAGATGATGGACTACATTTTTCTTATTCTGCAAAAAATATTATATTTATTATATATAATTTAACAGTATATTAAATTATAACTTATACAGATGTTTGTTAACAGTTGGGTGTTATACACGTATGTAAATGTACTTTTGTATGTAAAACTCCATAAATGTAATTTTTAGAATGAATTTTTAATTTTGTTTCGAAATTGTCAGTAATGCTTTTGTGTTGCTCTTCACACAAATTTAAAAACACTGTAGGATGATTTAAAGGGGTTGTATCATGAACAATCAAGTTTCTTTTTTATTTTGACATAAGAGTTCAATATAAAAAAAACAATTTGTTTGCGGAATTCAGATTTTATTTACTGGCTCAAAGCTGCGGAAATTAGTCATTCTGAGCATTTGCTTTACAGCAGCAAAGAATGCCATGTTTGATTCTTAGGGCCCTATCATGCAATCATAGTGCAAAGTGTGTTTTGCTGTTTTCAGCCTGACGTAGTTATCTTTTTTGGGCATGGGCATGCTGGTCTGAAAATGAGGTGTGTTCAGGTGCTTTGTTGGCACGTAGCAACATTTTTTTGGCACCCAGCAACAATTTTGAGGCAACTGAAATAGACTGCACCATTGACCAACTGAAACGTTGTCGAAAGTCAATGGTGCAGCATTTCATTTTGTTTGTTATTTAAACGAGTCCACAAATTCCATCATGTACTGTAAAATTAGCAACCCATCATGCAACTGACTTTTAAAGGGAACGGGAAATTACACTCTGGTTTTTTTTGTTGTTGTTTTTTCACGTTACACCCAAAACACACCTACAGTATTACTCATTAAAATAATAAGGACAACCCTTTAGACCATGCGCCAGGCGCACCGATCATTTCTCCCATCATTAAACTTTGCAAAACTAGATTCGGACACGCCCTAAGTGCACTTGCGTTGTGCGCTTTATACCAATGGTTCAGAGAGATGGCTTAAAATTGTCATGAACCATATAAGGATTTATATAACCATATAATTTTTGGTGAAAAAAAAAACAAAACAAATGTATGATATGACCCCTTTAAACTCTATTTCATGAAAAATGACCACTCCTACATTCAACAGGACATTGTCTATTTACCATTAACGGACAGTATTTCCTTCTTCAGTGGAAAACTACACTATAAGGAGATGTACAAAGTAGTACGCTCAATATCACCTCCGCTGGGCTTTGGAAAGAATTGTCCCTACAGGGTGGCATGCAAGGTTTGGCTCACCCACGAAAAAACTACCCCTTTGCCTCTCTCTTTCTCCTCCTATTCTTTTATCATTCCCCACGTCTTTTCTAGCTACCACCCCTTACTCCCCTCTCGTTCCTGTGATTTACTCCAGTGCTACTTTCCACCGGGTCAAAGACTGCTAGAGACAAGAGCTCAGGTCACACACAGACAGCGCATCCCGCTCCTGAAGTGTGAATAACTGCTGCAGTTAATGACACTGAGAGCCATCCATCATTGAGCTCCATTAGATAATGTCTAACACTGCCAACGGATGTCAGTAGGGATTCAGTCTCTCTGTGTATGAATTGGATTTTGGGCTTTTAGTGAACATAATTCCATAAATGTGGTTTTAAGGTTAGAGGAGGGCAGACTCCTCATGTTCACCATTGTCTCACCTGTTTGTAAATCAAGAGAAGATTATGCCCCTGACCTACCTCAGCGTCAGAAAATTTCTTTAAATTTCTATGGGATATATTTGCTACTTGTCTTTTTTTTACTTTATGGTGGTATATTTATTTTGGTCTGATCATCCCTGGTTGGGTTGCCTGGGCTAGAGTCTATTAAAGACCCGTTGGTTCACTGAGGATGTGTCCAAGTAGCATCGGAAGATGCTATATCTAAACTAAAACAACTACATTTTTATATTATATTATATTGTATGATTTTTTTTTTTCATCTCATTAAAATATAATCTAAATAATCTGATGTTAAAAATTAAACTTCAGGAATTCATGACAGTGACATATTACTTTTGTTGGCATTTTTGCCCAAAGTCCCTGCTAATTTTTGACCCTTAGCAAATATAGCGCTGTGGGTTCATGTATTATACTAATAGTAGGGTTTCTTTTTCAATACACCCTTTCAAGCTCTCAGATCCACCTGCTTGACTCTTCAGATCTTTGGCTGTTTTAATATATTCTCTCCTATAGCCTCTTCTATGCCTGCGTTGCATAGAAAAACCTCCACCTGGCCTCACCTCTATGTTTAATCAGTTTCCCTTTTGACCGTTTTTCTTTTCTTAAGTATGAAACACATTTAAATGACCTTCCCTTTCCTGTCTCTTCCTTCTTCCTCTATCTTTTCTGTTGTTTCCTATTTTCCTCCACGCCAAACTTCCTCTCCTCCCTCGTTCCTTGGGAATGCCCAATTCTTCTTCCTCCTCCTCCTCTTCATCACATTGCCCCTGGTGACTACCCTCTCCCAGTGGCCGTATTCATTACACTGATATGTACGAGATGCTGACCTGCATGTCGCCACCGCTTGGTCTGGGCAAGAAATGCCCCTCCAAATTGGCGTATAAGGTAGTCTGCAGTATTACAATTTAAATGAAGTCTGCTTGTTTTCAAGAGGCTCAAGCTAAAGATGTAATTACAGTGGCCTCAATTATTTATTTGTATTTATAAATACTTTATTTACTCAAAGTATTTGGACACTTAAGCCAAAGTATATGGATATCTTTACGTAAAAATATATTTTTGTATTATTTAAAAGAATATCTATCCAAGTGACGAGAAGTTTTAGTATCATTTGTTTGCAGATAACTCTTGATGCTGTGTTTTTTGGCCACTGAATGTCAAATAATTGCGATACATATAACTATATTGTTATATTTCATAGACTATCAGTGATGTTATTGTTTGTCATTGTCTTTTAATCATCCTACCATAAAGTCCCTGTACATCCACCAATGATACTTTATTTGAATATGTCACCCTAATGTCTTCAAAACAATGGCATAACCCTGACGCTTATTCCCATGTTCAAGACATATTGCAAAGGGCATATTCATAAAGTGTGATCCTTCAAACTTGCATATATTTCTTCTCTGTCTCTATCTAATATATGTGTTTCAACTGTGTTGTGACTTCTTTGTGTTAATTGTAAAAGTTATACAACTAAACCTACCTGTAGATGAGTATTTTTAAAAAAAATGCACACTCAATTTTAGCTTTGCAATTCTTGAATTTAATTTGTATTTTGTCCTGGTGGTGACTTGCTCTTAGCGGTTGGTTCTGATGAACATGCCAGTGGATGAGGACATGTCCGTTCATTTCACCTCCACACTTATGGCCCTGATACGCACGGCACTGGACATTAAAATCGCTCGAGGTTGGCATCACTGATCATTTCCACTTCCTTAAGAATCAAACTTACTCTTTTTTTTTTTTTTTTTTGCACAATAATGTTTGTTTAACTGTTTCTAATGGTTCAATGGTGTAACAGGAGGTGAGGACAGGGGTCAGATGGATGTAGAATTGCAGAAGGAAATCAGTGTCATCTGGCCACACCTCTCCCAGAAATCTCTTGATTTTCTTGTACCCATTAACAAAGGTGAGAGATCCTGTAGGGCAGGTTTTTGTATTCTTAAAGCTTGAACACCGTCTTATATTTTTTTATCAGTATAATTCACCTTGGTTGTGAAAGTTGTACTTGCGTGTACTAGATGTACTAGAATGTACTAGTTTGGCCACTAGAGGCAATTTACACCCCTAAAAGTGATTGTAATTTGCACCCTGCATTTAAATGTTTTCTACAATAAGCAAAACTTTTTTTGCAGCCAGTGACATGACCATTGGGAAGATCTATGCAGCTATGATGATCATGGACTACTACAAGCAGAACAAAGCTAAGAAGCTCCGTCAACAGCTTGAAGAACAGGTAGAGATGTGTTTTACCTCCTGCAACAAGAACTCGAGAGCTAAAGAACAGCCGACACACAACTTTAGGCCAATTGAATCAGCTTATATAAGCAACATATAACTGGGTCCTGAATAGACACAACAGAAACACCCTCGTATTTCCGCTATACTTCCTAAAGCTGGAAAGATGTGCTGCTTTGTGGGGAACTAGGTCACTGTGTCACTGGAGAGATTGTGCTGACCATCTAATGTTGTCTTTCAGAAACATGCGCCGATGTTCCAACGCATGGATGCATCCTCACTGCCACAGGACATTCTCTGCAGTGCCAAGGCTATGCCGTTCCTGTCCCACAGTGCAGGATCTGCTCTGTAATTGTGCATGTTGTGTGTGTCTGTGTGTGTGTTTATGTGTGTGTGTACTTATATTGGCCCTGTATTTTGTCTGCACTGTTGTTATTTTAATATAATTGATATACTATTATATTTTTTGTTGATATTTTGAGTTAGATTTTATTTTCAAATTTTCTGTTTTAGTTTATAAATATGGATAGATATTTTTATATTTAGTTTTTAGGATGTATTTGTTTTAGATTCAATTATTAACACTTTCCCTGGCATTTACGAGTTTTCTCATCTTTTATTAGGTAGTGCGTCCCCTTTTTTACGGCTTTCTGTTTTTTTCTTTCCGAACTGAATCTCCTGATCAAAACACAGGCGGAGATGCAGAAACAAGCGATAGCATATGTAATCACATATCCATATGTAAAATAATGCAATCACCAACAATAAATAGCATATAAAAGAATAACTTTAGTGAATGAAATGTTGACCCAAGATGAAATATATATGACTGTGCAAGCTTTGAGGGTGTTGATGGAAGTTATCTATACCATCAAAAATGCTTTGATCATTGGTCTGAATCTGATCCAGATGTAGACATTGACAAAAATACAATTTTATCAGCTTTTTGCTCAAAATGTTGCTTTTTTTATAAAACTTACTTACATTCAAGCATTGATAAAAAAAAAAGAATGCATGAAGCTAGAATATTTTTTTTTTTTTTGTTGTTTAAAAGCAGAGGGTCTATTCTTTCTTTTTATATATTGCATGTTCAGATATTAATACAACAAAATATTCTGGGGGCCATAAAATATTGGTGAAAATGAAAAGCGCTGGCAGGGAACAGACAACTTTTCCTTTTTTTAAAAAAAAACACCGCCTGGAAAAAGGGTTGTTTTGGCTGATCCCCCAAAACAAACCATATTTGGTGACACATTTGTGGTGCTAACCAACATGAGCATAATTGACAAAGTATATCTGTTGTTTGTTCAGCACTAGGGGTGGGTTTGTGGCACTGAGTCCCATCTCCCCTCAAGATTTCTTCATGCAGCCCTTGGGCCAAGACAGCATGGAGGAGAGGGAGGAATACCAACACCACTATCACCTCCAGAGCATGGTAGGAGAAGCTAAATCCTAAATACACAGACAGACATATCTCAGACATATTGCCACAGTAAGCCTCGACTTGTCTTGCATTTTATTCATTGTTTTACATATGTGCATGGAATACCTGATTGATACTTTGTTTTGTGAAACATTCAAATTCACTATCCATTTAAAATTCTCAAACAGTATGTGAATTCAAGCTTATGCTCAATTTTTTATTCCATGACGGTTTATGAATAATTCAGGTTATAAAACAGTTACAAAAGGTTGTAGGGTCTGAATACCACACAGCCAAAGACACTGATCCATTTGTGAAAATTTTAGGATTATAAACACATTTGCGATGTGATTGCCAAAGCACAAACTTTAATTGAGACTGTGTCTGATACTGTGGGTAGTGTGTATGCTTATGTAGGCAACTAAAATAAACAACAACAGTGGTATAAGTAAAATAATTGACTCTGTGTTGTTAAATTTCTAATTCAAATATCCATTGTCAGTTATGTGCTGAACGTTTATTTTGTGAACTTGGACTAAAAGTCACAAAACTCCAACTTTAAAATCTTTTTCTATTGTTTTTAAGATGTCTGGCAATGGTTTGTCAGATTTTCAAAAGCGAGTAGATTCGTTTAAGCTATAATAAAAATGTTCACAGCAAGAGATTTCAACACTGTCCAGATTTGATCAAAATCCCACGCTATATGTAAATCACTTCATTAATTGAGTGGCTGCCACACTAAAGCATATAGAAGTAATTTCCCCCAGCATAAAAAAAAGATCATCTTTGGTAAATCTTAATCATGAGATACAAATCTGACTAATCTATCATGAAGTCATCTGCATGGACATCACCTCTCTGGTTCACAATCTTGCATGAGACATCTACATTTCCTGTCTCATTTTCTTTTCACATTTTGCAGCTTTATTGCCATCCCTTTATTATTTTCCTTCTGGCCTCGTAAAGGAAGAGATTTTAGAGAGGTGTTTTTTAAGGTTCAGAAGGGTGTATTGATGTGGTTTCTCAAGGTTAGACTGCTAGGTCAAGATAACATCCATCACTTATATAACCAGTGATCAGTTATACAGTCTTTCTGTGCTCTTATCTACACTCTTATTTTCGTCCACTCTTGGTAGCTTTTTTTTTTTTTGCCTCTCTTCCGTGAGCTTTGATATAATGCTAGATGTCTTAAGGGATTTTAAGTTGGTTTATGTTTGAAATTCTTTTGTGCAAGAGCACTTGTGAGTGTGTCCAATATGTGCGGCTTCTGCTTTGAAACTCTCTACACCCCCTATGAGTTGCTTATGCGTAATGGCTCCATGTTGTGTTTATGGTGCTTCGCTCTTGCCACTTTACTTTTCCCCTATTCTGTCTTTTTGAATATAAACTTATCTTTTCTTATCTCTAAAAGAGTATAATATTTGCCAGGTTGTTACATTAGGATTATTACATTGTCCACTTCTGGTGGTGGATAGAACGAATGGGCATTTGATGCAATGATATTTAGAGCTGCTAAATATATATATTTTTTAGTAAGGATTGAATGTCTCTTCCTCCTCCCCGTTTTTTCTCTCTCTAACTGCGTAGGTGCCAGAGCACAAAGAATTTAGCAGTGTGATGTGCCCCAGTAGCATGCAGGCTGATCCTCTGCAAGTGCCAGGGAGAGGCGTCTCTATCCGAGCCTCTTCCATGCCTCGCCTGGAGGTAGAGCCACAGGTACTACCTGTGTTAGCCTAGACTGCACTGTGGTTAGCATTAGTGTTGGCGTTGGTCCCAAAGAGGGAATGGAAGACGTGTGTAGAAAGCTGTAGTTATTTGATGGGACTTTGATGGCTTACGCTGTTGGAAAATCTAAATATTCTGATTTGAGTGGTAACATGTTTATGTAATCATGCAAATATTATTATGAAATCATAGCGTTTAAAATAAATATTAATTATGGTAAAATAATTCTAATATTGTTATATTTAAAGGGACACTCCCACCAGAATAAACTACACACAAACACACAATTGATAAACAAAATTGGTTTTAATGAGAGAAAAAAAAAATATATATACGAGTGCGGATAGAACCCAGAATCTCTGTCACGCTTGGCAAAAGTTCTGCCACTCGACACACCAACACAAATTACATCTTATTAAATGACAAATTAAACAGAATGTACTATTTTAATCAATTTCTGGACATCGATATGTTATTGCACATAGGTGTACATCTGATTTATGATTTAGCATTGTATTACCCCCCCAAAAACACACCTGTCCCACCCACTTTTTAAAGCAAAGTTAAGCCACTGACAAGACCGGTAACTTAATTCTCACAGGTGTCGCTCATCGGTAATCCCGCCACCGGCCTTGTGCCGTTCTCCACACGGCCATCTCTCGTCCTGCTCGCCACAGTAAACATGATGAATGGCGACTGTAGAACGCAAAAGCCGAATCCCGGACATTTTTGGCGATCTCGAAACACATTTTCGGGCAGACTCACTGCGGAGACTCACTAGTAGCCTAAACTGTTGTTTACCCTACTGCGCTGTTACCGGTAGGCGTGGCCTCCTAGGGCAGCCTTTCTCAAACTTTTTTCAGTCAGGGCACCTTTCAAAAGTGCATAAAATCTCAAGGCACCCCAGTGTAAAATTTAATTTAAAAACACTGCATAACCCAAATGTAAATGCAAATGTCTTGTTTAGTTAGACAGAACAGTAATGAACATAGCATAATATGAACTGTAAATAACAATAATAATAAAAACTGTATAGTACCTTTAAAAACAAAGGTTGACAAAGTAATTCACAAAATAATTAATCAGAGACACAAATGCCATAAAACCGTAAGAGGTGGACCGCCCAATACAAGAACCCAATAACAAATCCAGACCAGGAGAACTCAAATGAAGTGCAGGATGCAGTTAAAAAAAAAAAAAAGGGGGGAAGACATTTATATATATATATATATATATATATATATATATAAACAATGCAATAAGAAAAAGATGCATGTTAAAAAATGCACCAGAGATAAGCAGGAATGTTTTTCCATATAGTGCTTGTTTTTTTTATCCGTGCCATGCACATGCACACACACACACACACACACACACACACACACACACACACACACACACACACACACACACACACACACACACACACACACACATACACATACGCCCACACACACAAACAATAATCCACAACGAGAGAGGGAGAACGATCTACATGCGTGCATGCAGCGCGTATACGCGCTCACACAAGCCGGGGGTGGGGGTGACCACAATCGAGACGTGAGCCTGGTGCGACGCACACAGCCGCCCTATCCTGGCAGGGTTGGATGAGAGGTGGTCAGGTGTTTGCGGAATCATCCCTTGGTTTGATAGTTTCATCCCATATATTAGACACAACGGGAGAGGGCGTGTTGCATCCCCAGTACTGAGGAAGTAGGCTGAGGCTCCATTTCACAGAAAAACTGTCCGGTTCTTGGGGGGATTTTCTTTTCAAAAAAAAAAAAAAAAAACGATCCATGATGCTGTCACTAAAGTGACCTAAATTTACGTTTATTTTTACGTTTCTGTCAGTCTGAGGTGTTGTTGCTATAACGCGTTGCTATGGATTGCGTCACTTCCGTCAAGTTTCGTGTCTTGCGAGACGGATTTTTATGCTTAATTTTATATATTTATCTAAAATGAATTTACAATTTTATTAATACGTCCATATGTTTAAAAAGAAGAATGTAAATTCAAATATATTTATATATGAAATGTCAGTTGTTGGTTTTTTTTTGTTTTTTTTTAGCCTACGTAATTTTTTGGCGGCACCCCTGACACAGTCAGGGGGCACCCCAGTGTGCCGCGGCACCCACTTTGAGAAAGGCTGTCCTAGGGCAGCGAAGCAAGTGCATTCTGGGACTTGTTGTCTTTCATCCACATAAGCCAAAAATACATTTTCTGGCTTTTCTCCGTCTAGAAATTCAAAAATAATTTCACATTTCTTCTACATAAATTACCCATTTTAAATACACATTCATCTTTCCAGAGGTGGAGTGACCCTTTAAGTATATTTAAATAATTTATATAAATATTAAAGTAATATAAATGTTATGGGTATATGTATATGCTTTATGGGCAAATATTTTGGACGGTTGATTAAATGGACATTTGGACAGGTCTAAAGGTCAACCTGGTTAGAACTGGTGGTTTAATTTAGTAGGAACCTATGGTGTAACCAGCTACCAGAAACCAATCAATTTAACCAGCTTGACCAACCTGTATTTTCCTGCAGGGAATGTTATGAGGTGGTGGTTGCCTTTGTTTGAACTCCGTTCAGAAACTCATTTCATTTACATTGTTTAGTGTTATGTCACTATGCGTGGTTTCAAAGAGAGAGAGTTTGTAAATATTAAACCACAAAATGACTTTGTTTCGTTTTTTGTATCTGTGTTTGGCCGTTTGTTGATGCGTGTGTGCTCTTTGGGTGTGTATGTGTGTTTTGTGTGTTCTGTTTGTTTTTGTGTTTGGCACATGTACAGCAGGTATCTTCAGAGAGCAAACTGATGAAGCGTTCATTCTCCACGATTGGTGATCAGTGTGTGAATGGTGACTGGCAGGAAGAGTTCTCTCTGGAGAGGGTGAGCCCTGACCGACTGGAGAGACCCAGACAAAGAAGCTTCAGAGGTGAGTTTGCAGTAGGGCTGTCAGAAGCGTGGCTACTTAAGTACCATGTTAATACTAAAATTGAAAAAAGTTAATGATACAAGTCTTTCGATGATATTGGACTTGTGACAATTCCCAGGTCAAGGCCACATTTATATGTGTTTTGTGTCTGCATATGTCTCAACATATGCTTATGTTCGTGCATGTGCAGCTGTCAGATCAAACCTGCGGGAGCCAGTGGACAAGGAGAGAGGACGGTCTAAAGAGCGAAGACACCTGCTGTCTCCAGACGTGTCTCGATGTAACTCAGAGGAAAGGAGTCAGTCCCAGGAGAGACACCACTCTCGGTCACCCAGTGAGGGCAGGAAGCACACAACCCTCAGACCGGTGAGGACACGTGCACTTTTACCCAGCAGAATATTTAGTGTTTTCTAGGGTATGCAAACTTATTACTAATAGAAAGTTGGTGGTCGGTAAGATTTTTTTCCCCACAAAAATCACCAAATCGGCACATTGGAATGATTTCTCAAGGATCATGCAACACTCAAGACTGGAATAATGGCTGATGAAAATTCAGCCTTGCCATCACAGGAATAAATTATATATTAAAATAGAAAGCAGGTATTTTAAAGTGTAATACTATTTCACAATTTGACTACTTTTACTGTATTTTTGTAGTCTTGTGATCTAAGGTACTTTCAAAAACATTAAAAAATCGCACAAACCCAAACTTTCGAATGGCAGTGTACATTGAAGGACTTTTAATTATGCATTTATTTGTTTTTTTTCTTTTTGTCTGTCTATTTACCCTACAATCCTATAGGGAAATAGTTCAAGCAGCCCAATTCCCTCCACTTCTGATTCAGGGACGCCTCGAGGGCGTCGGCAACTCCCAAAGACACCTTCTCGTCCTCGGCCCCACATCTCCTACTCTCCTTTAGTGTGCCGTGCCAATCCCGAGCTGGGGGAGGCTCGGTCAAAGGCCAAGCCTGCAGAGGAAGGGGGGGAGCCAACCGGGTCTGGCCCTGGCACCGCCCTGGCCCACTCCACCCCTCAACGATACATCTCAGAGCCATACCTGACACTGCAAGAGGATGTTAACAGTCCAGACTCAACCGGTGTGGAGGAGACTCTCACTTTCGAGGCTGCCATAGCAACCAGCCTGGGCCGCTCGAACACCATCAGTTCTGCCCCACAACTACGTCACACCTGGCAGGTGCCTAATGGACATTTACGTAAACGACTAGGACAAGCTACGTCTGGGACGTCAGGCTGTGAGCTTCTCAGTGACACTGATGAGGATGACCGGTGTTAGGGGTGTGTAGAAGATTCTGTGTCACCGTACAGGGTGGATTGATGCCTCTGGACTTTGTGCCTCAGTCTAAGGAAAAATATGCCTGTGTGTGTTTATTTGTGTATCTGTGAATGTGGAGTCTGATCAGAGTTGTGTAATCCTCTCAGAAGAACCGTACTAAAGATCTGAAGATCACAGCCTGCTTGTGGTGAAATGGAAACATTCTGTAATGATCAGCAGTCCTAGCATGAGCACACTGAGGTTAAAGATCAGGTTTGTGCCCTTAAACTTTCTCTGGACCCACCTCGCAGATCAAGCACAGGCTAATGCAGATGAACCCAAACTCGTCATTAGGATTCGGGCCATGCCCGAACGCACTCCAAACCTGCCTAAACATTTTGAGACGTCCCATCAGCAGAAGACCTGTATAATGCCGATAAGGACAGCGTCTTCAAAGACAGCGTTTACATAGTCCTTTCCCAGCATGGTATAGAGCAACATACATGTGGATGCCACTTCTTTTTAATTTTAGAGGCTGATGGGCAGAGAACAGATGCGTAACCAGGGCTTTGACATCCTGATTGTTCTGCTACCTATGTCATTGGTTCATTTAGGAGGTACACACACACATACATTCCAGTACACACACTCAGAACGCATGCAGTGATGTTCAGTCTGTCCATGACGAGAGGTAAATACCCCTTTAACTACACATCATCATAATAATGACTGACATTCCGAGAAGGTAACAGGGACTTGAAGGACCTGATGAATTGTGCATGACGTTTAATGCAAGTGGATCCAGGTGACATCCTGGCCTTTAACAATAGAGTCTAAATGGAGGACTCGTGTACCATATGTAAATATTACAAATCCGGTATATGTACTGAAAAGTCTTCAAGCCATGTTTTCTGTAAAGAACCTAAATTGTCTTAAAGATGTTATCTTTTGTGACATGATGACCAAACCATGTCCTTTATACTTGTAATGCAAACTCTTTGAAATGGACATGGTTCACACTTTCCAAGTTATGTTTGATTAGACTTATCATTTTATTCTTAACCAGCTGTTTTTTCTTGGCCCTTAACATCTCTTAAAAGTCTCTCTTTGGGTGAATCTCACAAAGCCTGTCTGGGTCATTATTTCAAAATCCCAAAACCAAGAGGATAGAAATAAGCAATTATATTTTGCATATAATCCCTATTTTAATGCCATTACGAATATGTGCATTGTAACACATGTTGTGTACAGTAAATACAATACAAAAGTAAAAAGGGTTGCTTCAAAATGCAAAAACATATTTAGTTGTGAAGTATTTATGTTGTAAAATCTTATATAAAGATTCTTTAAAACTGTACAAAATCTCTAAAGTTCTGGATGATAATTTGGAGAAAAATTGTCATGAAAATAAATGTCAATGCAAATAATCTTAATTGTACAAAAATAGGTTTCCTTGCTTCCTATGCAAAGTATCATTTCAATAAACAACAAAATGTTGGGTATAATATGACCTGAACATGTTTTAGTGTGATTCACCCCTCAAGCACTATCAATAGAATGGGAAAGCAATTGCAATTAGCGTTTGTTGCCTTTGGGTTCATTTGTAATGTTTACTGTGAATTTCTGTTTAGTTTAGAAACTGAATGAGTCCTGTAGTTTAAACTGATGGCAAGCATCAATTCCCTCTTACGTGCTTGGCCTAGCAGAAATGCTGCTCTTAAGAATGCATTTGTAGAAATTCAAAATGTATGTTTAGCCCGAATGTGGGTGAGTTGCGATTGAAATGTAGCTGTAGGAAACGGGCAGAACGTGTAAAATTATTCTTTAGAGTATTGTAGCGGAAATATGGAACAGTTGTAATGTTCACCCAAATGCCACTTCAGACCGGCCTCCCCTCTCAATTCCCCTCAAAAACTGCAAAGAAAAAAAGCAAAGATAATTGCATAGCATTTTTATTTAAAAAAAAAAAAACATCTTCGGTTAGGTTCTGTATATCCAGCATCTTAATAAAAAAAAAAACATTTTAAGATCAGTTGCCCCTCAAGAGAATTTCCGTACCATGTGTTGTGTTGTAATTTGTTTTCTTGACATGTTCCTGAATGTGAATAGAGAGTATTTGATACTTGTTCTACCTGACCTACTGGGGGTCGCTGCCTTGTGAATTATATGAAATAAAAAACAAAAAAACATTGCAGCAGAGTCTCTTCTTCCTATATCTCGGCTTTGTGTGGTTTGTTTAACAGTTTGTATATGATGCTAAACCATATGTCAGTGGTTAGAGTTGATTCTGTGCTCTAGCATATAGCTCTGAGGGTGTTGAAAACTATTTCTTCTTTATGGCTCTATTGGCAGTATCGAGTTTATTTATAAACTCAATTTCAAACTGTGAGATTCTCTATAGCGCTTCAGCAGTGTGTTGTGGATGATGATTTACTGCTGCTGACTATATTTGGCCTGTCCCACTTTCGTGGAAGCCCAACCATCTGTTTTTCTGTAGAAACAAAAAGTGAGAATGCCCACGACGTGCAAAATATATAGTCTTAGACTGTAAGGATAATTTTAGAAACATTTCTGAGGAAAAACATGCCAGTGATCCCACGATAGATGGATAGATAGATAGATAGATGGATGGATGGATGGATGGATGGATGGATGGATGGATGGATGGATGGATAGACGGACGAACGGAAGGATGGACAGATAGCTAGATAGATATGGACAGACCTCAGTTTCTTTATGATATTAATGATCCTGTCCCACTGCAATAGTACATTAAAACAGCCTTGACTCTAAACTGTTACTGACCCAAACTGACCCCCCTGTTTGTGGGTGGAGAAAGACTCTGAGATCAGATGGAAATATTGTACCAGGGTTTGACAAGAGTCCATATAGAGATATCTCACTAGCAGGTGAAGCGTTCTGCCTTTGATGCTCATGGATGAGTGAAGCCAAGATCGCTATATAGAGCTGAACCTGTTCCAGGTGCTGCCAATCTGTCTGTTACATCAGGTCAGCATATGAGGGAGCTGAGGCGAGACAGACCATCTGCTGGTAAAATCATTAAACCGATACATACACACATGTCTGTTTGTTTGTATATAGGAGCTGTCACATTTTAAGAAGGGACAACATCATGATGATAAACACTTTTCTTTTTGCCAGAATAGCAGTCAAAAATCCATAAATATCAGCATTGGAAGAAGGCTACTCATACTTCACAGTCACTTTGTGTAATGAGGTTTTCTAAACAATATCATTGGTGACAGATTACCTAAATGCTGTGTATTTTTATTTACAGATATGACAGTCTATTATTTTTTTTATAACTGAAGATGAGATTCTATTTGTTTGGATTTTACAAGAAAGGTAGACTTTCTTTCCCAGTCACTTTCTTTTACTGAATGTACTTTTCAGTTCTGTGGTAAACCTAACATTAGTATGTGAGCTGAAGCTGGGTAGGGAAAGCATCAGTCTGTGTATATAACAGGAGTAGGCTACTTTGATTCATCACAGATCTAAAATTGATCTTCTGTACTGACGCAGACTGTTAAAATGCCTTTTTATAATTATCGGTTGTTCACAGCCCCAATTATGTTTTTGTATGTGCATTGGAATTTTGTGAGTGTATGAACCCGTGTGTGTGTGTGTGTTGTGTAAGTGTGAACTAGGTTTTCTGACGAAGAGTGACAGTTGGAGGAGTTTGAGAAGTGCAGGTGCAATTTTTTCTTTCATCGCCACCTGGATCTGTTGCTACATGAGACATAAAGACACGCTACCAAAGTAAATATTTTCATCTCTATTATTGTTCTTTATCATTATAATTCATTTCAGACTAGAATTTTTGTATCTTGTAATTCATTGCATCAACATTCCACTGTTATAGACAGAGAATGATGGATCCAGTATTTTATTTTATTTCTTTTATAAATTCTGTATTCCATAATAATAGCACCAATTTATCTGCATAGTAACATTGTTATGAGCATGCAACATGTGTAAACAACTGATTATAAAGGCTAGAGTATTTAATTTTTTATATTATTTTTGTTTTTTAGACTTTTATTATACCCTTTTTTATGTTTATACTGTGATGTTTTTTTTTACCACCACTTAAATTCACATTTGCATTCTAGTGTTCATTAAAAGGATATTTCCACTGAAAACCCTCTCAGTGTGGGGTTAATTTGACACAACATTTGCAAACAACAGTTATGTGTAGAATGTAGAATGTCTAATGATATGAAATTCAGGCTAACCACCAAATCTACAATTCTCTAGAGATATATATTGGTTTTGAACTACTGTATTTGTGTTTATAGTTTCAGTGGTGTCGCATTTGGACAGGACCTGACCGATTAATACTGAGTAGAAAAGGTCTAGACCAGTCATACCGCTGAGAGGAGCCAAACAGCCATGCCTCACACCCTTTACCGTAAGTTAGACACTTCTATAAACACCTTGTCACATTCCTCACTGGGATCATATAGTGTGAATAGAAGACAAGCACATGTACAGTATGCTTAGGAAAAAGAGCTATAGTGATGATTCATTGTGCACTGTGGAGATCAAACATTAGTTGCATGTTTTAGATCTAACAGAACTAAACAATAAATCACTAAGATCAATATAAGGCACTGGTAAATAAACAGTACGTTTTAATGAAGGATCTGCAATCCAATGCTCATCAATGTGGCATTTGATCTGTTAAAAGATCCTGTAGAAAAGTGCTTCAGGGCCCAGGGTTTATGTTGTGGTGGTGACCCTTCCTTATTTTTGGTTCATGTGGGGGGTATTATGATCCCTCTTCATCAGGGGCATAGTTAGGGTCTCCTCCTCCTGTTCATGTAGTGGGATCTACATTGCTTAAGCTGTGCCATGGAGTGAGTGTGTATATGGCACAGCCCATCTCTGGCATTTCTCCAGGTCCAGGTCTGTTTTAGTGCTGTCCAGGGGTCAAAAACTGATCATACCTCCTTCTGAAGCGCTCACAGAACGGCCTGCCTCCCTGAAGCCATGCAGGACTCCGAAATTCTGCTCAAACTTCTCTACTGTGTAGTAAGTGTTTCTTCCTATCCTCTTATTCACAGCAAATGCTTGAACAAACAACTTCTTTTTATTGTTTGTAGAATAGTTCTAGTTTTATTTCTGCATTGGCACACAACACCAGGCTCTTGGTCTTAGTACTTTTGTCTCGACAAGCACAGGTGAACGAGTCTCTCCATCTGTATTTTGATGTGGTTTGAGCACGCTGTGCGTTCTGTGTGTTTGATCGACCCAGACCAGGCCTGAGGCCCTCGTGATGAGAATAGGTAGAGAGGCTTTCACAAACCAGAGCTAAACCTCCAAATCCAAGAGAATATCTCACTCTTTCTTGTCACTCTTGCTAAAAAAAAATCCGAGGGTGCTTTTGGTAAACATTTTATAATAATGTATTCATAATGGGCAAAAATGATGTCAATCTGATTAAACCAAAATCTCCAAAACTTTCAATAAGAGGGAAGACCAAAACACTTACTTGGTTAAGGTATTTATCTGACACAATTAATTGACAAGAAAGTCACACTACAGCTACAGGTTTTATTTTTTATAAGAAATCCTGAAAATAAATGATCATTTTCACAAAAATATTAAACTGTCTTCAACATCAATAATAAGAAATGTTCCTTGAGCATCTAATCATCATATTAGTATGAGTTCTGAAGGATCATGTGTCACTGAAGACTGGAGTAATGATGCTGAAAATTCAGCTGTCATCACAGGAATACATTACATTTAAAATAATTTAATATTAAAATAGAAAACAGGTACTTTAGATTGTAATAATATTTCATAATGGGATTGTTTGTAATGTATTTTGATCAAAGAAAATCAGCATAGAGACTTCTGAGTAACTATAATGTTTTGAGCCAAAAGTTCATTTACACATATACAAAATAAAATGCCAGTGTCATACTTTGCTATAGCTGTTGAGTAAACAAGTTACATAAAATACATACTGTTTTAGAGTGGGATAAGTGACAATATAATACCATATTCTATGCGAAGTGTATTGTAAGATGTATATTAATTACGACTCATGATCTCTATAATATTTGGGAATGCCTTTAAATCTCTGTTTCATCTCTGTTAACCCTTTCATGCACGAATTATCTCATTCATGATATTTTTCTTGATTTTTCGTCAATCAAAAAACAAGATTTGAATTTTTTTCTACACACATTTTAAAAAAAAGATTTTCAGATGTTCAGCATGACAGTATGTTTTTAGTTGTAACTGAAGAGATACTGTATGAAACATACTATAATACAGTAATAAAACAGTAATACTGTGTTTATTCAACAAACCAATGAATACAATTATATAAAAACATGAAAACTATCGAATATATATATATATATATATATACAGCTTTAATTATTGAGAACACAATTGAGTTTGTTCCCATTCGACCAGCAGACGAAGAACTACATACAAATGAAATGTCATGTGTCTTTAATAATACACTGAGAATAAAGCAACTAAGCAGTTACATACAGTGCACTCTCTATAGTTTAATGGTCACTGATATTTTCTTATGTGACTGTTGCCCCTGACAACCACAGCCCAAGTTCAATGTCGGCTGGAGCGCTAGCACAAAATAGCTAATTCTCTTTGCAATGCAAACTAGCAAGCCCCAACAACACCACAGGCTGTATGAAATGAAAGTGAAGTTCAGAGAGCTCTGGAGCCCATGTGAGAAAAGCAAACACAGGTTGTTAAGCAGTCAAAGGAGTGCCTTCAGCTCGACGGCCGCATGGGAGAGAGCATTCAAACACTGGGTTTATTGAGGCAGGACTTATATTATTATTGTTTTAGCAAACAATTCCCATACGAATGATAGAAAGATATAGATAGATGGATGGATGGATGGATGGATAGATAGATAGTCAAAAGTCATTATCTGACTAAAGATGGTTGTCATCCTTTACAGAGTATCATGCAGCAAATGACCTTAGTATTGGGTGGCCCCACTCAAGATGATCTCAACTGTCCTGAACACAAATCCCACTGTGTCCAAGAGTCACAGGTAAAAATGAACCTTCATTTCCCTTTCACCTTTCTCTTCACTAACATTACCTTTGTTCTTTTTAGACGGAACAATCTTAAAGTATTTATGAAACCATGCTTTTGTGTATCTTGTTCAACAACATGTTCTCACTCCTAACTCGTCACATATTGACAGTTGTGTAACTGGTTCTACTCGACCCGCTCGGACTGTGGTCTCTGGAGTAGGAAGCAGACACTCTTACAAAGAGATGCCTCTAGCATCGGTCACTAGCGCCTCTTGAGATCAGGGGAATGAGGTTTACACGCACAGCTCTTACTGACCTATGACAGTTACACTCATCCCCCTGAACCTCACTCCCATCCGGGTCACTGCATCAAATATAACCGGTTCTACTCAACCTGCTTCGAGCGGGATTTGAACCATGGTCTCGGCGGGTGCTCTAACAAGGAGATTAAAGAGCAAACCCTCTAACGCCAGCCACTAGAGTACAGTGGTGGAGGAAGTACTGAATCTCAGTACTGAAGTAAAAGTACAAATAACCAGATACATATTTACTTTAGTAAAAGTAGAAGTAACACAATGACAACCATACTTAAGTAAAAAGTAAAAAGTACCTGATTTTAAATGTACTTTAAGTATTAAAAGTAAAAGTACTTGCATAACAATTTATTCTCTTAATGTCTATTTTCTAAAACATTTAATTCTAACTCATTCAACCTAATACTCCAATAATGATGGAAAAAAAAAATAGCTGTCACCATTTCTGAAACAAGCCTGCAATTAGGCATTATAAACCATGCTTATCCTTACTATATGTTACTAACTATGTTTGGCAGTAAACGTGATTAATTTATGGTGTGATTCTGAACCTCTTGGCTTGCCATAATCCTAACCAAACGTATATTACACACGGTGCGTTTCCTATGCACATACAAATTTTCGCGTATAAGTTGCACGATAAACACAGTGTGACCGGGTTGATGTATCTATGGCAACCAAGCGTCACTGGTGAGACAAACGTGCAACGAACGGACGGTCAGATTACGTTTTGGCAGGGGAAACGCTGATCAGAAAATGTAACGAAAATATAACAGAAGTTGTAGAAATGTAGTGGAGTAGAAAGTAGAATAATTGCTGCAAAATGTAACGAAGTAAAAGTAAAAAGTATGCACTATTTATTCTACTTAAGTAAAGTAAAGATACGTGAAAAATGTACTTAAGTAAAGTAACAAAGTATTTGTACTTCGTTACATTCCACCACTGCTAGAGTACCTCTCGAGATCAAGGGAGTGAGGTTTATAGCACAGCTCTCACTGGCCTGCATGAGTTACACTTGGATGGGTCTTGATCTGAAGCACAAGGCTAGCGACTAAAAGCAATGATGTTCCCTGCATCGAAAATGTTACTGAAGAAGCGTCAATGTGTGGCGAGTCGGGAGTGAGAATGTATTGGTATCTTATATGATAAGATATAACATATTTAATCATATTTACACAGAGCACACAACACCTCTGCACTAACTCCTGATTTCTCTCAATATGGGGACAGCAGAGGTGTCAGTCAGTAAATGGGAAATATGGGAAGTAACTTGCGTTAAATGTAACTCGTATATTTTAAAAGTAATGTTACTTTGCTAGCTACTTGAAAGGGTAATCTGATTACATAACTCGCATTACAATAGAATAGAATAACTCCAAATCTGTTTAAAATGTCTGATGTGGATGTATGTGTTTTTCTATTATGGTGATCTGGGGACCATGAATCAGTCGACATCACTGTGCTAACTTTATGAGCTGATAAAATTCAGTTTACTTTGGACATAAAAGTGACACTCAAGAGACGCAGCACTTCTCTGTGTTTGATCACTGCAGTCTGGAAATCTCTTAGCATTTCATGTCAAATCCAGAACAATATAACAGATATATTAAACATGAGTTGATTTTTTAGAATTGGTGTACATAATCTATATTCTGAACCTGAACTATATTAAAATATGTATGTTTCTATTCAATGCTATTTCAAGGAAAAAGACGAGGGAAAAGGAGCAAATGTTGCCATCTCTGGTTCTACTTCTGTTGCCATGGTGGAAATTGAGGATAAAAGAAAAAAAATGAGCCAACATATGATGTCATTTCCTTCGTCACCTGATGATTTAAGTGTACCAAGGGCAATTTCAGATTCGCAGACCCTTGCAAGTGGATCTTTGGAAAGATTACCTAACCTAGAGATGGCAACAATGAGGTGCCCAGCTGATACTACATATGAAACGGAATCTGAATGGACTGAATCATCTGGTTTTTATCAAGAAAGGGCAATTGAAGGTGGGATAGACAAGAAGGAGGCTTTTATTTACTCTCTCACAGTCCAACCCATTAAAACAACTCAATCTTTTCTTTTTCCAGAGTCCACAGGGGTGCTTGACACTGAGTGTCAACCTCGGACCATGAGGGTGAGAAATATTAATTCAACAGCAGGTGGATACGTTCCACAATCTGAAGAGTCTTTCAAGATGAGCACTGCAGTCAAATTAGAGGTCAAAGGTCAAACCAAGAAGAAGCCCTTGCCAACACCACAGTTATCTGTTTCAACTCTGAAGAACAGTACAGCCTTTTCAATGAACACAGCCACAAATGTCCCTCTGACTGATATTTTAAAAACAGCCAATGAAAAGTCTCAAACAAAATCCATTGAGGATTCAATCACAGCGCCAAGTGGTTCCCCTCAAAACCTTAACAATGTAACGGAAACCAGCACCGGCAGAACCTCTGTCAGTAAAGTAAAGTCACAGGAGAAGAATAAAGAAATCAGAGTGACTTTCAGCCCTGGGGAAGCAAGTACTGCACTGAGAGAGAGAGAGCAAGAAAATATAAAAGATACAGATGAGACTTTACAGATTAGACGTGAACAAAAAGCATCTGTGAATGGAGAATCAGAAACTGATGACTGTTATTCAGGTGCTATTGCTGCCTGTCCAGGACATCCTACCACTGCACCAAGTATAACAACAGAGAACCGCTGTAAGTAAAAATGAAAAAAGAAAAGAAAAAAAGGGTACTTTTTTAAAGCTGAAGAGTACACGTTTTCAATGATATTTTTTTTCTCCTACCCTAAATTAATATGTGTGCACGCCATTTGTTCTATATGTTGATTTCCCCAAAAAGTGTGAAGACTGTGAGCAAAATAATTGGATATTTCAATTATTTAAACAGTTTTTAAATGTAAAGATTAAATTAAATTAAGTTAAATCACAACCCCTCCTTGAACTGCCACCTTAACGTGGTGGAGGGGTTTGAGTACCCGAACAACCCTTGGAGCTATCTTGTCCAGGGTTTTATGCCCCTGGTAGGGTCTCGCACGGCAAACAGGTCCTAGGCGACGGGTCAGACTAAGAGTGAAGAAAAAACAAGGACCGTGACGTCGCCCGATATGGCGCAACCGGGGCCCCACCCTGGAGGTTTGGGCTCGTATGCGAGTCCCTGGTGCCCCCCAAGAGGTCCGGCCGGGCTCACCACCTGCAGGAGGAACCGTAAGGGGCCGGTGCTGAGAGGATCAGGCAGCAGTCGAAGGCGGGGGCCTCGACAACCCGATCCGAAACTAGCTCTAGGGACGTGGAACGTCACCTCATTGGCGGGGAAGGAGCCTGAGATTGTGCGTGAGGTTGAGAGGTTGCGACTACAGATAGTCGGGATCACCTCTACGCATGGCTTGGGCTCTGGAACCACACTCCTTGAGAGTGTGCGCCTAGGGATCGGGGATAGATCTCTCACTGTCATGCCAAACGGCAGTGCAGAGTACCTGGCCTTCTTGGGGTCTCTGGGAGGGGTGCTGGAAAGTTTTCTGACTGGGGGCTCCATCGTTCTACTGGGGGACTTCAACGCTCACGTGGGCAGAGACAGTGACACCTGGAGGGGCGTGATTGGGAGGAAGGGCCCCCCTGGCCTGAACCCGAGTGGTGTTCAGTTATTGGACTTTTGTGCTAGCCACAGTTTGTCCATAACGAACTCCATGTTCAAGCATAGGCCGTAGGTCGATGATCGACTTTGTGGTCGTTTCATCTGACTTGTGACCGTATGTCTTGGACACTCGGGTGAAGAGATGGTCAACTGATCACCACTTGGTGGTGAGTTGGATCCGATGGCGGGGGAGGAAGCTGGCCAGACTCGATAGACCCAAGCGTACTGTAAGGGTCTGCTTGGAACATTTCACAGTCTCCTGTCAGAGAGATCTTCAACTCCCACCTCCGGCGGAGCCTCAAGCGGATCCCGAGGGAGGCTGGAGATATTGAGTCCGAGTGGGCCATGTTCTCCACCTCCATTGTTGAAGCGGCTGCTCTGAGCTGTGGCCGTAAGGTCTCCGGTACCTGTTGAGGTGGCAATTCCAAAACCCGGTGGTGGACACCGGAAGTAAAGAATGCCGTCAAACTGAAGAAGGAGTCCTATCGGGTCTGGTTGGCTTGTGGGACACATGAGGCAGCTGACTGGTACCGGCAGGCCAAGCGGACTGGTGGTTGTGAAAGCAAAAACTTGGGCCTGGGAGGAGTTCAGTGAGGCCATGGAGACACCAAGTTGTTATGTTTACATGTTGTTATTGTTATCATTATTTCTTTATTATATTGTGCCTCTAGAAAGTTCTCCCTGCACATCATTTTTTACTCATTATATCTGATACTTCATTTTAGAAATGATGAACAATGTCTAAGAAATGCAGAAAAACAATATAAAAATAATGTCTCACTAATTGGCTTCTTTTTTTTTTTTGTCTAAGCCAATCAGATGCAGAGAAACATACACAGAGAAGGAAGTCTAGTACGAACACTGGGTTTCAGAGGGCCAAGGGTAAGAATGGTTATCTCTCTTATAATTCATTAACATTCCATTATCTTTACATTCATTTCTGTCATTAAAATTAAAGGCTTTACGGTTTACACTACTCTACATATGCTAATGGTGTTTGCAAGTTTCAAACTAATATAGGCTACTGCTAACTTCACTCATCTGTTCCATTTTAAATAGATAGAAATGCAGCATTTCATAGAAGGTTCAAGAAAATCAATACAATCTTAGTAATGGCAATCTTCTATTCAGACATGAATAGATTCTATCATATTTTAACCTTGAATGACATATATGAATACAGTGAGATGGTCTTTTTTCTCCTTGCTCTAATACTGTGATTCTCACCCACATGGTCATCTCAGTCCCATTGCTAGCCTTTGTAGGAAATTGAGTTTGCTGAGGCATTATTCAATTAAGTGTGGAATAGAGGAGAAGAAGGGTCATTTACCTCTACTGAATGGATCTTATGAACAAAAACTGACTCAATGTATGACATTGAGAGAGAAATATTATCCTAAAAAGAGGAACAGGATTGCAGAATTTATTTAACAATGCCAGTTCTAGACAGGGGGGAAAAAGAGTAGAACTGACACTATATACCATTTTTGAACCATTTAATGTATGGTTAACCTGTTGTTTCATGCATCTACATTATGTTATATATATTCTATGTTTTAGCAACATAATCCTTTACAGTTCATTACTGACAGGAGAGAGAGAGAGAGAGAGAGCGAGAGAGAGAGTCATTAGTTGAGCACTTGCGCCCTCCTGTGGTAGACGTGTGTCTGCTGAGTACTGCAGTCTTTGGAGGTAGTACTTAACAAAATTAGCAATATTTTTTTTTAACTAAGTTTGTCAATGCTTTAATTGTTGCCATGACCATTTTTTTTTTGTTTTAAATAGGTTATTTAATTGTGTGCTTGGGCAGTTTGATAAGTGATTTCGAGGGTTCATTCCAAATGATTGCTAAGGTGTTTTGGCCTATTAGGATAGTGCTAGTGCTGAGGTGTTTTCATAGATAGATAGATAGATAGATAGATAGATAGATAGATAGATAGATAGATAGATAGATAGATAGATAGATAGATAGATAGATAGATAGATAGATAGATAGATAGATAGATAGATAGATAGATAGATAGATAGATAGATAGATAGATAGATAGATAGATAGATAGATAGATAGATAGATAGATAGATAGATAGATAGATAGATAGATAGATAGATAGATAGATAAGATAGATAGATAAGATAGATAGATAAGATAGATAGATAAGATAGATAGATAGATAGACAGACATTAAATAATAAACATATTATATTATATTATATTATATTTACATTCTCATTATTACAATGTCATTATTACAATGGCTTTTTTAGGGGTATCCAGGCCCACCTGGCTTACCAGGCCTTCCAGGTGAAAAAGGAGACAAAGTATGTAACCAATAATAATATTATAATCATAATTTTACATAAATTGTAATCACTTTTTTAAATTAAATCTTTATTGTAAGTCAAATCGTGTCACGTTCATTTTTCTGTCGAACTAATGCTAACTAATGGGTGTTTGCGTGTCACTGCAGGGCTACGCAGGAGTGATGGGCCGGACGGGCCGGACAGGGGACAGAGGACCGTTTGGACCCCCCGGCATGCCAGCTATCATAGTCTGGGACACGTCAGAAGAGGAGTGGCAAGTGTTCAAGGTGCAAATCAATGTTTTTGCTCATTTTAGATAAAAAATGAAAAAAATAAATTAAATAAAAACAAAGAAACATAGCTGATTCTGAATAGTTGAAATTCAAATGCTGCCGGCATTCTTATTCTACGAAAACACTGTGTTGTTTGATAGAGCATCTTATTTAGACTTTTCATTTTGCTTGCAGAACAAGAAATTCTACAAAAAACTACTGTCATTGTGGCCGGTAAGTTAGTCTGCGTTTACTAAGAGCTCTATTGAGTTACATGACCACACTGCAGATTAAAATCCCCCCCCCCATTTTAGCAAGTAAAGGGATTACCCGGACCTTCGGGACCACTTGGAGATCATGGACCACGTGTAAGTCAAATTCCTACTTTTTTACGTATTTTTTCGTTGAAAATGTTTCTGACCCCAGTGTAAAAACCTATTCATATGTTGTATGAGATATTAGGACTTTTAGGACTGTTTTTTTAAAAAAGTTAATCTATCTTTTTTTAGGGCCCCCCTGGAGTTCCAGGCAAACAGGGGAGGAAGGGAGAGCGAGGGAAACCTGTAGGTATCTCTGTCTCCTCTCTTCATCACACAATCGTCTCTGGTGACAGATAAATGCTAACTCACTGTTACATAGAGAAACATGGTGGGCACTGGCCAGCTTCATAAAAGTGTGATCAAATCATTTAGAGACACAATACGGTTCAGAAAGAATTTGATTACCTCAATGGGTCGACAAGCATCAACAAGCATGAAGTCAACAAGACAAGAGTTACATTGTTCAGACATCAGCTGATTCAAAAGCAAAGACATATGTAGGCTTGTTTCCATTCAAATAGCAGTTTCAGTTTAATCTTTGGCATCAAGGGAAATGTGACATTCCTAAAATGACATTCATCTGAACTTCTTTTGGCTGCCTCCTCATGCATACTCACAAATTTACAATTTTAAATACTGGTTATTTTAAAAAAAGATAAGAAAACTTTTAGTTTGAACAGGAAATACAATAACAACAAAAAGACTGCCTTCTTCTATTTCTTAATCAAAGGTAAAGTGAATAAACAGTAGCTCAGTTGAACGGTTAAAGACACACTTGTGTGTGTGTCAAAATGCATTTTTGTGTTGTTGCAAGTATCCTAGTAAACACAGTCATTCATGTTTTAAGTGAATGTAAACAGTTGAGAAAGCATAGAAAGGATTTGTGTAACAGGATTCTCTCAACATTGGATCTGGGCAGCTCTTAAAGTGACAGCAGACTAATTTTCCAGCAGTCATTCATGTTAATCAAACAGCAAAACGGAAATATCACTCACTGCTCGACTAAATCACTTTTTGTAACTTTAATAAGTACAAAATGTATATTTTATTTACACAGTGAACACCACAGAGTGTTTTTTATACATTTGATCAATGTATTAATTATTTCGCACTTGAAGTTTTTCAGGTAGGTCTAGTTTTGTTGTGTCTTTGTTCTATTGTAGTTATTTTTGTCATATTGCTTCTAATTAGTTTATTTGTTCTTATTTTATCACTGACCGTTTACATGTCTTCAGTAAGCTTGAGTTTGTTTTTATTTATTTAGACTAATTAGTTTTTTGTGATATTGACATTGGTGACACGAATTATTAAATATCTATCAAAATGAAAATAAAAATAACAATTTTTGGTACTATATAAAAAAATGATTTAGAGCTAAATTTACTATACATATTGTTATTGTGAAATAAATGTATTCATAGCGTGATATAAGATTTTGGTCATATCGCCTACCTCTATTTGCATATGTTAGGCTATATAGCACTAATGGTTCACTCTGAGCATTTATGAGATCATTTATTTGGAAGGTTACCAGGAAGATTCCAAGTAAAAGAGCTATTGTAAAAATAAAAAAAAAAAGAGCTCACATTAGATCTTGATAGAACATGACTAATAGACTAACTAAAATTAAACATTGCAGTATCTATCAAATACTAAAGCATGTGCTATATGTATATGTATGAAATGTATGCTAGATGTGCTATGCACAACCTGCTTTTGTCTTTTACCAGGGAAGATCAGGATCCGTTGGAATGCCAGGACCACCTGGGAGATCAGGACCAGAGGGCACAGCTGGCAAGAATGGGGAGACAGGCCAACCTGGAGAACCTGGGGAGGATGTAAGACTTATGAGAATCAAAATTCTTAATATGCATCTAGTGGTTCATCAAGTTGTGTTTTATGCGAAATATATTGTACAAGTTTGCCTATAACTGCATAGATTTGTGTCTGTGTATGTGTGTGTGTTTCTGTAGGGCCCAAAAGGTTATGAGGGAGAGAAGGGCAGTAAAGGGGAGCTGGGTGAGTGGGTAAGAATGACCAGGGTTTTTTTTGTGGATAATACCATAGCTAGGCAGTCATGGAATCTGTGTCTGCGAAAAAAAAAAAAAAAAAAAAAAAAAACTCCAGTGAAAACACAGTTTTCCACAGAATTGGAACTTACATCATGCATTAAACTCTCTGCCCCTTTTAAGTGCCAATTTTTTGTGTGACTAATTTGACTATGCTTTCAGCTACCGATAAGACTTGCTAAACACATTTTAATCCATTCTGCAGAAGTCTGCAAATTCCATATGTGCCTAGATTTAAAATAATCTAAACATCCAACACCAAAATATGAGTCCATAACTGTCCTCTCAGTGTGTTTTTGTCATTCCTGCTATTAAAAAAAAACAATTAATTGATTCCCATTCACCCATCCTTTTTTGACTTCTCTGCATTTAAAGAAAGTGTGTCTGATGTGTTCAGGGTGACCTTGGGGAACAGGGGCTTCGGGGAATCAAAGGAAAGAAAGGAGAGAAGGTAAGGTGCCCCTCTTGCTATCCAGACTTTCAGTAGATATGATCAAAGCACTTACCAGCCAACTCTGTTTCTTTAGGGGAAAAAGGGAGAGAAGGGTCTAGCCGGGGTAATAGGATATATTGTAAGTATCAGTGTACTTCTGATTGTGTGTCATTTATTTACAAGGCAGTTATTCTGCCTGTGTTTATACCGTACACTACCATTCAAAAGTTTGGGGTCTGTAAGATTTTAAAATATTTTTGAAAAGTATGCTTACCAAGGCTGCATTTATTTCTGTTTTAATATATTTTAAAATGTAATTTATTCCTGTGATGGCAGCATCATTACTCCAGCCTTCAGTGTCATGTAATTTGTCATAAATCAATCAATCAACGATGCTGCTCAAGAAACAGATCTTATTATGAATAATACAAGTGTTAATTTCTTTATAAAACATTTTGCTGACTCCCAAAATTTGAATATATATTGCAAGGTCAAAACAGTTCTATGACATTGTTTAACAAACTATTTATTTTCCATATACAGGGGCCACCTGGTCCCAGAGGACCACAAGGATTCATGGGGCCGACTGGTCCACCTGTATGTGTTAAAATATTATTTTAGTTGGGTCTAACATACAAATAAGATGAGCAAACTGGCTGATTATTTTTTGTCATGATCTCTGTCACAGGGACAGACAGGGGGGCTCGGGTTCACTGGATCACCAGGATCACCAGTATGTTACAAAACTTAATTATTCTTTATCATCTTTTAATTCTTATTTGTTCATAACTCTACTTTTGACCTCTCTTTACAGGGACGTACGGGACCGAGAGGGTTGAAGGGAGTTCCGGGCGTCAACGGACCCCCTGTAATAAACACTATATCTAGTAGTTGTAATTATCTGGTTCACAATAATCTTGGAAAACCCATGTAAACTTGTGAATATAGTGAATGGATTTGTATTGGCTAAATAATAATTCCATTTGAATGTGAATTTGGAATTTGAATATAACATAATGCTCATTCTCTTTTATAAGGGTCAGCTTGGTGATATAGGGCCAAGGGGGCCACCTGGCAAGCAGGTAAGTTTAAAAATATATATTTTATTTCCTAAAAAGGCACATTATAATATTTAAGATAATGACATTTCATTATGTTTTGACTAAACCACAAGTAGAGAGTCAAAAATCTCATGAAGAAATGAGTCATCATTATATATTACAGGGAGAGGAAGGGCCTGATGGTATTGTTGGTAGTCCTGGTGTTCCTGGACCACAGGTGCGGTGAATTTGATCTTTCTCCTTTATATCGTGTATCTATGTCCTCTCACTCATGTCTTTTCGAATCCATTCAGATACTTTGGATACATGCAATTAGAAAAGAAGATTGTAATCATGCTAAAAATGTGGAATATGACGAAGTTCCTATATTAGAATCAAAGTGTAAACTCTTATCTCTTCCTTCTCAAACTGCTACAACTTGTGTTCACCTGACTTGACTGACTACCCTACATGATCTTTTAAGGGAAAACCAGGAGAAGGACATGCAGGTCAAAAAGGAGATCCGGTATGTGCATCTCATGTTATTTTATAAAAGCTTTGAAATTACAGACACATTTAAAGTCTCATTTTGATTTTCCTACATTTATCTGAAGCTTATGTATATCTTATTCAAACAGGGAAATCCAGGAATTGAAGGAAGCATTGGAGATCCAGGACCACCGGGTATAAAAGTAGGCCTGCGGTTCACTCTTCATGAAGAATTATAATCTAACTCTTTAGATATATCTCATATTCCTTTGTCACACCAATGTGCTTCTGTGTTAATGCAGCAATATGTGTCCAAGCATTCCAATTTTCTTGTTTTAGGGTGCCAATGGAAAACCCGGAAAACTTGGACCCTCAGGTGATCCAGTAAGATTACTTCAAACAATTCCTTAATATTTTAAATGGCTGATTACTGTGAGACACTTGTACTATGACTGAGGTTTCTTTTGTAGAGCAAAAGTTATTAAGCTTCAATTTAAAAAAAATAAAATTTCAATTTAAATACTTTAATATCAACTTTCAGTGTGTTGTGAAAGTGAGCATGCCACTCTATTTTATCTCTCAATGTAATTTAATGCTGTTTTTGTTCCTTTATGCTTGAAATCTAAGAAGCAGTAGTTAAATGATTATCATATAACAGTTCAAATGGCAAATTGGCAGCCTTAACCAGCTAGAAAGAAAAAAAAACGATATAATGGTTTTGGGAAGATTGTGTTTGTTGTCCTTGTCTGTCTGTCTATAAACTTCAGGGTCTGAAATCCCAGCGTGGAATTAAAGGAGATTCTGGCCAAAAAGGAGATCAAGTGAGTTCGCTAAAATATTTACAAAAGCTCTGGCCAAGTAAACAACACTTTGTGAATGCCAGAAACACACTGTTATCAGACTCAAAAAAAAAAAAAAACCTGAGGGAGTAAATGTTGAAAGAACTAATCTATCTTTTCTTATCCGTGGTTTCTCTTTGTCAGGGTCTTCCAGGGTTGCCAGGTAAACAGGGATTCAGAGGCAGAGGAGGGCATTCTGGTGTACAGGGAGAGATAGGCCCACCTGGACCTGCTGGTTTACCAGGGCCCACGGTGAGCGGCAGCTACATTTAACTGGTTCAAAACTGACTCATTGAAAGTCAACCACTTAGTATGCTTTTTCTTCAGGGCTATGATGGACCTATTGGAGATCCGGGGAGACAGGGACAAGATGGACTTAAGGTACAGTAGAATTCTAGTTCTCTGTTTGTCAAACGAATCTAACATAGTGTGCTGTCTCAGAAAAACACAGTTATCGTATATAAATGGTGTCTTCAGGGAGAGAGAGGTCCTCTGGGTATCCAAGGTGTTCATGGACCACGAGGTGACAAGGTGATTATTACTCTTTTTATAAGATGTTATACTTTAGATTTCGCATTCATATACAATTGCAATAAAACAACATGATTTAACTCCAAAAGGGTCGAATTGGCCAAGGAGGATTTTCTGGTTTTCCAGGACCTTTGGTAAGTAGGCTATAATATCTTAAAAAAAAAAAAAAAAGCTCAAACATGTGTTTTAGTCTGGGACTAGGCTTAAAGGAGTAGTTCAATTAAAAAAAAAAAAAAACTTTTGCTGCTCATTTACCCCCATGTCATCCAAGATGTCCACATCTTTCTTTTTTTTCAGCCGAAAAGAAATTTAGGTTTTTGATGAAAACAATCCAGGATTTTCTCCATATAATGGACTTAATTGGGAATCAAACGGTTCAAGGTCCAAATGAGAGTTTCAGTGCTGCTTCAAAGGGCTTTAAACGACACCAGACGATGAATAAGGGTCTTATCTAGGACCCTTCAGGTCATGACTCGAAAAAAGATTTGTTCATTTTGATGAATGAGTTCGAACAGGAGAGTCATGAACGCTCATCACAGAACAGAGCAAGGCGAGCATTTGTGCTTATAAAACTTAAACTTTTTTATTTATTTTTGAAATGACCGATCGATTCGCTAGATTAGACACTTATTCATCGTCTGGTGTCGTTTAAAGCCCTTTGAAGCTGCATTAAAACTCTCACTTGAACTGTTTGGTTCCCAATGAAGTCCATTATGAGAAAATCCTGGAATGTTTTCATCAAAAACCTCCATTTCTTTTCGACTGAAGAAAGAAAGACATGGACATCTTGGATGACATGGACGTGAGTAAATTATCAGCAAAAGTTTTTTTTAAAAAGTGAACTACTCCTTTAAGCCTTGTCTATGAAACCGGGACCAAGTGCTTAAACAATTTAAGTTTAAGTAGATTTATTTAATCATAGCACCCCCAGTGATAATTACAGGAAATCGGTAGATCATTTTTCATTACTTATAACTATTACCTAAAACAACTAATAGCCTTGACCCACCAATAAACACATTTACATTGTATTTACAGAGCACTGCAGCATTTGAAAATATATATACTGTATATATTTTACTAGGCTACTATGGTCCATTATATTCATATAATATAACTATTTCTAAATTCTTGTTTTATAGGGGGAGATGGGAAAATCAGGAGAACAAGGACCTGAAGGAGAGCCCGGTACTAAGGTTCCCGTGTACATCAGATCATTACTTTTTAAATATATTAATATGTGTCTTTTAACAACTCCATGTCGTGCATTAATAAGTAAGGTCTTCTCATAATTTTCTAATAGCTTTGGTCAAAATTATCTCAGTCACAACATAAAATCACATTCGTGGAAAAAACATTTTTTTTAAATATTTTTTATTGATTTATTTTTTATGGGACAGGGTAGACAAGGGGTCCCCGGAGGAATTGGGTTTAAAGGTGAAAAGGTAAATTGAGTTCCCTAATGATTGGTCAAATGCATGTCATACTCCAACACTGAATGTCACAACAAACTTAGCATAGCATTGATTAATTATAGCATAGACTGATGTGGATTTGCATGCACCATCATGCATCAAGTTATATAAGCTAAATCATGATGTTTATCATCATTTAGGGACTGCAGGGTGTTTTGGGGAGTAGAGGACAGGATGGCACTCGTGGTGCACCTGTAAGAGCCACATATACACATTTTAATAAAGCATGCCCTGTTAGTTTGCCACATTAGCCACTGAGAGTAATTTGTGTTACAGGGATCGATTGGATCACCGGGATCAGATGGAGATAGAGGACCTACAGGAACACGAGTAAGAACTCTTCTCATTTTTTTATGCATTGTTGGACATCTTTTTACTGATACGGACAACACAACTGATTAAATCTGATGTCTGAACAGGGTTTACAGGGAAAGCCTGGTGCACCAGGAATCCAAGGTCCTATTGGAAAAACTGTGAGTTCTATTTTCCTTTACTGATTGACAGGCTTTCCAAGACATTGAGTGTCTTAGTTATGTAAGGCATCGTCTTGTGGTATATTTAGCAGTTAAAAATGTCATAGTTTGCCAATTCTGACATTACTGTCTAAGAATATGACCTGCAGCATGATGCTATTAAATAACTTTTTAAAGGGGGAACCAGGGAGCCGAGGTCTCGCTGGCAAACCTGGAAAGCCTGGAATCAGGGTAAGTAATGATTTCATAAAATTCCAACCACCTTTTTATTTTACATGACACCCAGTTCTCCAGCATAGACTTTGTCCAAATTTAGATATTTGTTTCTGTGCTATTTTATTGCGATTGGCGGTGAATTTTATGTGGATAGTTCAGTCTTGATAGGTTTTTTTAATGATTAATGATAAATTGTTTGTGTTTCTCAGGGTGTCAAAGGCAGAGAGGGTTCAGTAGGGTTTCATGGCAGTCCTGGGGAAAAGGTTAGTGGTTTTGTAAAATGTAGAAGTCACATCACGTGATGTATCAATACATATGATGACAAAAACTAAATTCAACAAAAAGCTGAAAACATTATTAGTCACGTTGGTAACACTTTACAATGAGGTTCATTAGTTAACTACATTAGTTAACATTAACAAAGAATGAACAATACTTCTTCAGCATTTGTTAATCTTTGTTAATGTTAATTTCAACATTTACTAATACTTTTGAAAAATCTTGTTAACATTAGTTAATGCACTGTGAACTAACATGAATAACAATGAACAGCTAGATTTGTATTAACTAACGTTAACAAAGAATAACAAATACAGTAACAAATGGTTAGTTCATGTTAGTTAATACATTAACTAATGTTTAATAAATGAACCTTATTGTAAAGTGTTACCGTCACGTTTAACAGTAATCAGCAGCAGAAGTAGAACGTTTTCTTTCATTCTTGCATTTAAACCAAACCTCCTTTCATTTACAAGCCATATGTTCATCTAATTATTCTCTTCTTATAATTCATAAAATACATTTTACAATCTTTTCATTTGATATTAGGGGAAGAATGGCCCTGAGGGGCCAAAAGGAAAGCCTGGTCAGCCAGTAAGAGCCTTATAATATATATCTTATTAAACTTTAGACTTTGAAACTTTGATTGAAATATATCAATTTCACTATCTAGGGTCCTCGAGGCATACCAGGAGAGAAAGGCTACATTGGACCGCCTGTAAGACATTCATTTAACATACATGCACAACATTTTTGCCAGTGATGTAGTAGTAGTAGTAAGTGTTTATCCAGTGTTGGAATGATTTGTGATATGTGTGAAACATTTGTAAATACAATCTTCTGAAGGGACCACAAGGAAACATAGGCCAGTGGGGTGAGGCAGGTCTGCAGGGGCCACTAGGAAATCAAGGGCCCCGAGGACCTCCTGGGCCGAATGGAGTGGCTGGGTACCCAGTATGTGTTTTTGGTTTATTTGGTTTATTGTTGTGAAGACTGTGGGAAGGTTTAGCTCTAATCCCTTATTTCAGGGTAAAGATGGACCACCTGGACCCCTCGGACCTCCAGGAGAAAAAGGCAATAAGGTGTGATATTTTTCCAGTTTTATCTTCATTATAAATGTACAGTGTATTGTTTCTCCCATTGTGGCCTAGTATGAGGTCTTTTGTTCATAAATGTTTTGGCCAAAGGGACTGAAAGGAGCCAGTGGACAGAAGGGAGTTGCCGGTATCGATGGTGAGGAGGTAGATAACATATTATCATGATTTCTCAAGGATCATGTGACACTGAAGACTGGAGCAATGATGCTGAAAAATTAGCTTTGGCATCACAGGAACAGATTACCCTTAAAAATATATTGAAATAGAAAACAGGCATTTTAAATTGTAATAATATTTTAACTGTTTTTAACTGTATTTTTGAATAAATAAATGCTGCCTGCCCTACAGTAGGTGATACCTTCAAAAAATATGTTAATCTTATTAAAAAACATTTTAATAGTAGTATAATTGTATTAAATTGTATAGATGAGTGATGCTTTGCTTTAGGGCCCGGTGGGTGAAACTGGACCACTCGGACCAGCAGGAAGTAAAGGATTGCCTGTGAGTACAAATCCTCTGATGCTGTATTTTTGCCATCTCCATTTCATACGTGTACATTGTGTTATGGTGTTTTATGTAAATGATACACAGGACAGAACTGTCGGTTGTAGGGTGAGAAGGGTAAAAAAGGGTTTCTTGGTGAACGTGGCCTAAAAGGAATCCCAGGCGAGAGTGAAAATCGAGGACCACCTGGAGCGAAAGGACCAATAGGAAGAGATGTGAGATTATTTATTTGGTTTTTGATTATTTCTCCAGTACGTAATGTACGAATAAATGATTAAAAGGTATGCTGTGTTTGTTTGAGGGGTTGAGTGGTGCTCCAGGGCAGAAGGGAGATCCTGGATCCCCAGGTGAAAAAGTGAGAAGTTTGCACTGGTGTTTGGATCAAATAGTCAAATGCATTGTCATTTTCTGATTGTTATTATGTTTTCTCTGTGTTTTTGTGAATGCATAGGGTCAGCCAGGTGTAAGAGGTCAATCCGGCTTGGTGGGGAAGTACGGTCGTGGGGGGAGCATGGGAGAAGCTGGTGATAAAGGCGACAAAGGTCTACGTGGACTTATTGTGGGTACCACTTCCTCCTATACAGACAGTAAAGCTTATGCATAAATATATATTCATTTAATTTATTTCAATGTTCTTTGGATATTAAAGGGTGATACAGGAAAAAATGGGCCTCCAGGTCCAAAGGGTGCTGTTGGGTTACTGGTAAGTCAGGTTTGATATATTTGATGTGTAGTATATTTCGGGATATATATACAGTATATTCAACATTTGTGTATTTCATTCAAATGTAGGGTTTGCCAGGAAAAGAAGGATTTGTTGGACAAAGTGGAAAGCAAGGGCTGAAAGTATGTTTATATAATTTTTTACTGATGTCTTCTGATGCCATATAATTAATTTAGCAATACATTAGACAGACACTGTCAATTGACCTAATGTGGTTGGTCTAATCAAGTTATTCACCCATGTTCACTGGTTGTTTGTGTGGTAGGATGAAATAAAACGTATGCTCTGTTACACTATCATATGAGTAAGTGCATCTGCTTTTGTCTTTGTCTCCTGTATAGGGAGAACCTGGACTTAAAGGGGATTCAGGGGGCCCTGGGAGGAGAGGATCAATTGTAGGTTTTTACTTTTGAAGACGTATACATTATTTAAATAAGGTGTCTGGATTTGCTTTATTGACCTGAATTTGTATGATGTTCACAGGGTGTTCAAGGTCCAAGTAAGAAGAAAGGAGAGCCTGGAAAAAGAGGCAAAATGGTGAGAGAACACTTTACACCCAGATTGGTTTGAAAAATGAACAAAATGAGAAGCATTTGTCATTAAAAACAAGACAGCATACAGCAGTGGTTCTCAACTCCAGTCCTCGGGACCCACAGTATATCTCCCTTATTTAACACACCTGATTCAGATCCTCAGCTTGTTAGGATAGACTCTATGAACTGAACTGTGTGTGTCAGATAAGAGAGACATACAAAATATGCAGAGCAGTGGGTCCCGAGGACTGGAGTTGAGAACCACTGGCATATAGTATGTTAAAGTGTACAGAGTTAACATATTTGAATGATCTATACCCCTGTTTAGGGTCCAGTGGGTCAGCCAGGAGCTGTGGGTCCTCACGGTCTGAAGGGAAAGCAAGGATCTTCAGGAACTCCAGGGGAAAGAGGAGTCAAGGGTCAAAAAGGGCCAAAAGTCAGTGGGTCGATATTTTACTGATGTATCATTTAATCTGCTCAACATTACTGCATGTTTTGTGACTAGAATGTTACTCATATTTTAATGTCTGCCAACATGTCAAGTCAAGTCACCTTTATTTATATAACGCTTTTTACAATACAGATTGTATCAAAGCAGCTTTACAGATCAATACAACACAGATCAATAATATTGTTGAATATTAAATGTCCCCAACTAAGCAAGCCAAAAGCCAAGGCAACAGTGGCAAGGAACCAGAACTCCATCAGGTGATTGAATGGCGAAAAAAACCTTGGAAGAACCCAGGCTCAGTCGGGGGGCAGTTCTCCTCTGGCCAACAAACGAACAGTGAATACAAAACAAATTGGATCGAAACATAAAGAGAATTTGTCCAAGTAATCGCGCCGGTTTGGAGACGAGATGTTGAGGATCAGTGCCGATGGCTGTCTTGTCGATGAGGCGGGATGGGTCCACCATAGAGGGTCCCTCGGGATAAACAGAGAAACTAATATTTGCGTAGACGGCATCCTTCTTTTGATGTACCAAGTACATCAGGATTTACGGGACGTGTTCCCGGTTCCGGCTGATCTAAACTATGCAGCCTAATTTTGATTTTAGGAAGTCTATAGTGTATGCTAGGCCAAATAGATGTGATGACATGTTAAAGAGTTGATTTTGGCCAAAAGAAACATTAAAACAAGCTTTCCCAGAACAAACAAGTGTAAAGTAAATGTGATTCTTTCACAGGGAGTGAGCGGTTCTCATGGAAGGAGAGGCAGTAAAGGTGTTGCAGGAAAGCCAGTGGGTTCAAGATTTTTGATAATCTGCAGCTTCACTGGTATTATTTCATATTTTTCTAACACAAACAAATAAAAAGTTCATGCAAATGTTTTATTGTTCTATAGGGACCTCAAGGACCAAAAGGGAAAAATGGCAATCCTGGTCTCCGTGGAAAGCCAGCAAGTATCCCTACAAATCCTTAACCTTCTTAACTGTTTATTGTTTGTGCCAAATATGATTGTCTTTTACATGAACTCCATTTAAGGGTCGTAGTGGAACAGATGGACTGCTGGGAGTTATAGGCACTGAGGGCGACCCAGTGAGTAGCTTGGCCTTATTCACTATTCACATTTATAGAGGTGATTGTTTGCCTATGCAAAACTAACTGCCACAATAGGGTGTTATGGGTGGTGCAATGGTTTTCTAAGTTGTTGCTGCCATATCTGGCCTAAGATCAGTTAGATTGTTTGCAAGTAATATTCTTAGAGTATAATAGCTTTATGGGACAACATTTACAACCTCATTGTACAGGTGTTGCTGAGTGAATGTTTATATTAACTTTCAGGGTGACATTGGGTTCAGAGGACCTCCAGGGAGACCGGGTCTTCCAGGTAGTGCTGTAAGTAAGCTTGTTTTAAACAACGCTTGAATGATTCATTAAAAAGCATGTCAGTTATAGAATATGGTCATTATTTGTACACATGGTTTCAAATACACGTTCACAGGGCGCCCCAGGAATACCTGGTTTGCAAGGGAGTCGAGGACTATCTGGACCAAAGGTCATTTCTATTCTGACTCATAAATAAATAAATGTTTCCTTCTACAGTCAGTTTACTAGCCTCTTTATCACAGGGCTCTATAGGACCGAAAGGGAAACCAGGGCCCACTGGGCTGATAGGGCCGAAGGTATTTTAATTTTAATTAAAGTAATTGTTTTGCCTTCTACAATCCACAAGTAATTATTCATTCATTCATTTTTAATTAGGGGATTCCAGGACTTCAAGGTGAAAAGGGAGATGTTGGACTGAAAGGAAGTAAGGTATTGAAGCCTGACATATGAAATAATCGTCAGAAAAGCTGAACAGTTAAATGAAAATTTTGACAAAAAAAAATAGGTTTGCATACATGTTTTTTTTTTTATTACTGATATTTATAATGCCAAAAATGAAGATTTTTAATTTTAGAAGTCTGTAAATCCATAAGATGTTTAATAACAGTGTAGCAGTCTACTTAAAGAAAATGGATATAAATATCTTTATATATCTCCTAATACCTTAGTAAGATAAGATGCTATTTAAATTATTAGTTTTATGATCAAAGTTCTATAGTTTCTATTGTAGGGGTTGGGTTATGTCTATAAAAAACATAAAATGCAAAGCACTACAATGATAATTGAGAGATGTATAAGTAAATGTTCCTCAAAAGCTTGATGTAACATATTTGAGACTAACATTTTAACATGATTTATATATATATATATATATATATATATAAGAAGAACTAAAGATAATGAAGTAAAGTTGCTTCAGTCCAGTAATTGTTCATCTTGAAATATTACTAACAATATAAAAGTTATTCATGTTTACTTTTTAAAAATCAGTAAAAGATTTTGCAGCCAAAAAAACAACAACAAAAAAAACATGGTCATTAATACAATTTACAGAGCCATATTGGAATTAGAGGATTGCAAGGGCCCATTGGACCACCAGGAGAAAAGGTAAATTCAGATGAAACACACCAAAAAACAAATGTTTTTTTTTTTTTCAGTAGTAATACATTTTTCATCTTTTTGATCGTTTTATCTTTCAGGGAAAACAAGGTTCTCCAGGGTTCAAGGGGCGGCCTGGGCCAAAAGGCATACAGGTAGCAGTTTATATTGTGCACATATTTACTGTGACCTTTTGGTTTATTTATTCATAAGTATGTTTTTTTGCAGTGTATATAGACAGCCTTCTTAATGTATTTATATATATATATATATATGTTTATTGAACTTTTTTAGTGCAAAGCATGGTAAAACAGATTTACAGTAAGTGCAACAAAATATTCTTCAGATAAGTATGTTTTGTGTTGCAGGGTGACGCTGGTGCTCGTGGGCCTCCTGGTGACAAAGGATTTCCTGGTTCAACTGTGTGTCTCTTTGTAAACTCACTGACCAACTTTATTTGCTTGAGAGCAATCGCACAGATTCTGACAGACTCTTGTTTTGTTCTACAGGGTCCACCAGGAAGGAAGGTGTGTACTAAAATTGCAGGTGTGATTGTAATTTATATAGCTTTGCTTATCATTACCCTGTACCTGAACCAGGTAGGTACAGTACAGATACAGATACTGTCAGGCTGACCTGTAGTGTCCTGACAATGACTCAAACAACAATGCACACATCACATCGAGTCATTGAATATATGGGATTAAAAATATAGGATTTAAATCTCAAAATATATTACACTTTAAGTTTATGAAAATTGTTAGGAAAAGAAAAGTTATTATGTAAAAATATGAAAACTGACAGAAAATATTTCACTATATAACTGTTTACTATATTTTGATCAAACAAATTAAGCTTTGGTGTGCATATGAGACAATGTTCTTTCAACAACATTGTTTCTTAACCGCTTTCAGTACTTTTTTCACACTACTTTCTAAAAAAAAAACTTTAATAAAATGGTTTATATATATATATATATATTTTATATACATTTTAAATATGTGAAATCTGAACAAACAAAAGAGTGGTCATAATTTTTTATGTGTGTTGAATAAAATCTTTATATCAACCACAATGAACTTCCATAGTGCAAAAGATGCACTCCCACCCACCGTGAACAGCCGAGGTGTGACCCTTAACCCCCCCTAAAAAAAAGCTTAAGAGGGTTAAATGTGCTTTTTTTTATAATATTGTTCATATCAACAGGGTATGAAAGGAGTTCAGGGAATATCAGGACAAAAAGGTGTGAAAGGTCGAAGAGGACCACCTGTAAGTTGTACATTTTTCCTAACTGTATGTTAATAATGTCAACACTTTCATTTCATACTTATTTCATTCAAGATTATGTAACTAAATCTATTATATTCTGACTTAATCTCATTTGCTTACAAGGGAAAACCAGGTATTCGCAGCAAGCTGACACCAGGGCTTCACACTTCACCTCATTCTCAGAGAAAAGCCTCACTAAATGTTAGTACAAACTCAAGCAGTCAACCTTGTTTTGTTAAGCACTCAAACACACTTTTTTTCTCAATTAAAGCAATGTACAGTAGAGGAAAATGTGGGGTCGGGAAGCAGAAAGACTTGACCCAAGCTGAAGCTTTAAAATATATTGATTGAACTACTAGTGTCTTTCTGTTTAGAAAGCAAGTTTGTTATCACGAAAGTCTCGATTTGATGACCTCGAAGATGGGATTAAGGAAAATAGCCACTCACAAGGAACCAAAGAGAGCCCAGCAACCACCTGCAGAGAGTTGAGTCTCAGCCAGCCTCACCTCAGAGACGGTGAGCAGAAAACCACCTGAGACCAGAAAATGTGGTTATTTTTATTTAACTGTGGTCATGTATTCATAGGGCACTACTACGTTGATCCTAACCACGGATGTCCATTTGATGCACTCCGTGTTTTTTGTAACTTCACTGCTGGTGGTCTAACTTGTGTGTCTCCTGTCCAGTCTAAAGTAAGAGGATTTTCACAGTTATCAATCTTCTTTGATACCTTTAATTCACATGAACAGTGTTGCCAACTTAGAGACTTTTTAGACCCCTTTAGCAACTTAAAAAAACAACTAGAGATAAATTTAGTGACTTTTTGGACTGCTGGTTAACGGTACACTTAAAATGAACAAAATTTCAATACGTCATTAATCCATCTTCCAAAACGCGTTTATATTTTACACCTAGTGGGATGATTTTTTGCTACAGGGTCAAAAGTTACACAGTGTACCTTTAACATGTAGTGGTCAGTCGCTATATCATGTTCATTTTGTTGTCTGACCGAAAATATGTAATTGAGGAAAACAGGTTTATTGGACATTCGGCTATATATTTTAGTAAAATACAGTATCCCATTGTGGATTAAGAGAGAAAACAGATGTGGAATGCCAACAATTTGCTCATGACGTCACCTAGTGACATTTAGCGACTTTTCAAGCAGGCTTTAGCTACTTTCCATTTAAAATAGTTGGCAACACTGCAAAGTTTTTTTTTTTTTACTCTGGGATGCCCAAAGTCTGAAAGAGATTTGTTACCCATTATTCCGCACATTTAAATTTAAATTTATTTAAATGTATGTATTTATACAGCTCATTTAAATTTGTCAAAGAAATGTACCAGTCAGACACAGAATAATACAATAACATGGACACATGTACAAAAGAAGAGTCGCTGTGTACAGATATTCTGTTATATTGAAATAATCCTATATTTGTGGTCACGATTGTGTAAGATTTCAGGAATATGGCCATCAGTGGACAGCTCTCAAAAGGGGTTTAGTGAGCCTCACAGAGGCTTCAAGGTAAATCACTGAACTTACTAAATTTCATAAGCTGATGAAATGCATTGTTATATGTTTTTTATTTATTTTATTTTTTTATGTGGAAACAGTACCATGGATATCATTATTTCTATTAAGAATGACAGGCGTCCTGAATGTAATTTTCACACTCCACAGTTTGAGTACAGAGGCCTCGATGTTGTCCAACTGCGATTCCTACGCTTGCACAGTGACTCTGCCACACAAAGCATCAGCCTGAAATGTCCCAAAAAACCCAGCCCCGCTGCTGAGCGCAAGGATACCACCAAGAGGGTGCTGCACTTACGAGGAGACTCCAATGAAGAAATCCATCCATCCCATGTCATCATATCACAGCATGATTGTGAGGTTAGAAGTAATCTTTGGTAATTAAATTAGTCTATGACACAAGACAAAAGCTTTGCTAAATGAGAAGTTTCCAAAAAATGACACACAGGCAAACCATGTCAGATAAATTAAAGCTACTGCATAACAAGAGCATAATAAGCCTTTTCCTTGCCATATATTGCAGGTAACAGCACAGGTGAGGGTTCTGGGGAATTCAGAGCTCCACAGAGGAGACATGCAACTACTTCCCATAAGAGATGTTTTTTTAGAGAGCGGAGGGGAGATCTTGGAAGGAAATGCGATCATCGTCCTTGGGCATCTGTGCTTCTTATAGTCTCATTCTCTTTCCAAAAATAGATGGTATTCACAGAGCTCCTGGGAGGAATGTAATGTTCCCAGCTGAGCTGACAGTACATTACAATGAGACCTTGAGTAATGTATTATAAGTAATGTCTATAAGTAATGTTACCTTACATTATGTAAGGTACTTTATGATCAGTGATTTCCAGCATAGCTGAATTTGCTGCCTCTCTGGGTTTATATTATTCAGATTTCCTGTAGACTGAAAGTGGTGCAATAATTGTTTGCGTGTGTGTAGTGAGCATGTGAGAATTTATTTAGACTCGTGTGTCAGTGGGTTGTGAGTATTTATGATAATGATTTATTTATGTAAGTTTTAAAGATTTGTATTCAATACCTTAATGTTTTACTTACTGATATAAAACATTTAAAACCGTAGGGCATTCTTACTTTCTGTATTTTGCTAAAAAATGTTATGTTCTTTCTAGAAATGTGTCATGAAATGCCCCCCTTTTTTGCAATATTCCTAATTTTACAATAAACAAATCCTGGATTACTACTGTTTTTTCTTTTTTTTTTACTGTACTTTCAAACTAGTTGCACACTCATTTTTGAATTATTTAGTCTCCGCAATGATAACATTAAATATAACATCTTAATTTTAAAAAATGACACACAATTGACTCAAAATAGAACTAAATTTTTAAACCCCATAGTAAATATAATTATTAACAGTCCCAAACTGCACCTACGTATTCCACAGACTTGGCTAATAAACGACTTGCTTCATTTCTCATTTCATTTCAAGAGTTTTTCTTTTCTTTTGGGGTGAAATATGACCAAGGTATGTTCTTGAGGGGTTTTAAGATTCATACATTTATCCCACATTACAATTTTAGACAACATATTGGTATTGTTACTGTACGTTTAAGATCAATATACACTATGAAAAGAGTTCAACCAATCAGATGGCGTTTAAGTGCAGACTCCGCCCCCGGTAGAGAACGAGCTCCTGTTGTTTCCTATGGATGTGTTCAGCTGATTTCAACAGGCCTGATGCTGCTCTGCTGTCACTCTCATATCGGTCAAACACTCGGAGTTTGTCCTCAGGAGCTGTATTGATTATTAAGAACGTGTGACTGTGTATTTGGAAAGAAACCACAAGTAAGTGACCTAAAGGTTGTTTTCTGTTCAGAAAACGGAGCCATTATAATAGACATCAAACATTACCTGGTTATTGAACGTCTTCTGTATTTACAGAACGGAACGTCTTCCGTATTTACAGTAGTGTGAGTTAACTTAAATGAGCACGGACGAACACCAACACAGCCATAGCGTAGAATACAACTTAATTCAGTATTCCAGCAACTAGTATCTTTGTATTTATTTTAGTTTAATTCATTTGAATAGTAATTATTATCAGATGATTAGTCCTGTCCCATCAGAGACTAGTATTAAATTATTGGTGACAAGTAATTATTTCATCGTGACTGCCAATTAGTAGCAAATTTTTGTTATTGAATTTTATGGGGATCTGTGATTCAAACATCTGTGACTTAATCTGACCATTACTGTGTGTGTGTGTAGCCTACTAATTATGCTGATACCAGTTCTAGTTTTACAAGTAACAATTACTTAGACATCCTTACATATTTTTTTATTTACTAGCTATAATTTACTATTAAAATGTCTACTAATGTACTAAACAACTACATGTCTCCTCTCACTAGTTAGAGTCGGGGTTTTTTTTGGTCATATGTAATATTTTGGTCTTTTTGTTTTAATTCAATGAAATTTACTAAATTAAAAAAAAAACTAATCAATGTAATCAAGATAAATATTTTCTGAATTGCATCATTTATTTCCTTGATTTCAATGATATACCTCCTAAACAATTAATGAGATTCACATTGTTCATGCTGCTGGTTTGTGTTGGGTTTTCAGCATCAGGATGGTGAAAGAGGGTGCTGGCACCCCACGCAATCGTAGGGGGGCTCATAAGGTTGTTCCGTCATCAGACCAGGATGGGACAGGAGCCGAAAGAGCCACAGGAGAGGTGCCCTGCCCAAGTAATGGTGAGACTCACTTGAACGCTTAACAAAAAACCTTGACCTGGTCCTCCAAATGTAGACTATTCAAATTGCAGAGGCAAAACAGTCACATTATAAATCTGACAAAGAGACAAAAGAGTTTCTCTTTTGGTAGATCTAATGTTGGTCATTCAATTCTGACTCATTGGAATCAGTTGCAACATGTTTCACCCTAATGTCCTAACTATTTACTTTACATGCTTGTAAAATTTGTACAACCCATCATTTGTATGACACTGTCAATCTTTGACATTATTTTGATCAACAAGTTTTCCCTTGATCTGGTTAGTTCAGTTCACAACTATAAAAAATATCAGTAATTTTTTTGTGTGTGCTATAAAATAGGTGTGTTCTTAATTAAATGCTGCTTTTATGTTCCAAAGTGAAAGGCTTTTAATTCGCAACAATAGCAATAAAATATACAGTTATATTATAACTCCATGATCACTATAAATATGCTGTGGTATGATTTGCCTATCATTTTCAGCGATAGGCAGACCTTGTAGTGAAGGTCTTGATTGAGCAGTGTAATCATTTATGGGTTAAAACAAAATGAGGAAGCAGTAGCCATTACCCATTCATGTTACGTTAGTGAAATCATCGAGCTTAATTCAGGGAATGAACAGACTTCCATGTGATTTGCCGTGTGACCTGATTGAGAAATTGCCATGTCCTGCTGATATCAATGATGCAGTCATTCCCATTAACTGTGACACAATGACACTGAAAATGCAAGTGTAGTTTTATTGACAAGTAATCTATAGTTGCATTGTAGTAATCAAAGTTTTATTGACAAGTAATTGAAATCACACTGTCAAATACAGTGTAGCACATTTCATAAGATGCTTCATAGTGTAGCATTTGAGGTTTTTATATTTATTATTATTATATAAGCATTTTTTAAGGTAAAATAATGTTGAACATTAAGTGTTTTCAATGATGTAAACTTTCCTGCTTTAATTGTTCTGCCATAAAACCTAAAATGTATTTCTTTATCATATAGTCCATTGGCTATTTCACACATATTCATCTATCCCATTGTAAAGTCCTAAATGAAAGTGACTTTTTTTATTTATTTTTTTATCTTCGATAATATGAAGATGTAATGGGGACTTTAATGTATTGTAATATATTGCATTTTATCAATATAAACTGAGTTTTGCTTTTTCAAGCAATTTTGTGATATCACTGTCTGTATAGGTGAAAGTACAATCTTTTTAAAAGTGTTGTATGAATCATCTGTTCTGTTTGCTCTCAAACGGATGCGGGTATTCTGTTTGCGTTATGTTGGATTAGTTAAAGATTACTGGATGATAACCAGTATACAGTGCCCACAAGTGCCGGAGAATGACCTGCGTCCATCTGTATGTAAATGTGGGCATTCATGAGGGATCTGTTTTGATGTCTCATTTCAGGAACAGTGGAAGTGGAGCACATTATCAGCACAAAATTACAGCTGAAGAAGAAAGCCGAGGTAAGATGTCAATCCCAGTTAATCAGTTGGTTTCAGAGCTTTATCTAGTCAAATATCAAAACCTTGAGAACAACTGTGCGAAACATGTACTTTATCACTGTATTGTTGCGGAGTGACTATGCTGATAATACTGACTACTATTACATTTACGTAATAGATTATCACTTCCTAAACGTACTAATGTGACCTCTGCTTTGACTATATGCGTCGTTTATTGATTTCAATGCAATGCTTATTCTGGATTATGAAATGGAGAAACTATTTAAATAGGTTTACTTGCCATATAATATTTTTGGGTTTAATGCACCTCTGAAAATTGTTTATTTGAATGTTTTGGAAATAGAGCCATATCCATCAATCGAGTAAAGTAATGCAATATATTTCTTGAATGGATTAAGATGTTTACACATCTTAATCATTATATTTTTTAACTTATTTATGGAAGTATTTTCTGAATCATTATCACTTTATATATGTATATATTATAATTTTATTTAAATAAAATATTAATAAAAAGTATATAGCCCTTTCAAAAAGTTTATTTAAAAAAAAACTATTTTGTATATACAAATGTAAAATATCTAAATAATATTTAGGGCTGTAAAGCGATTAATCGCATCCAAAATAAAAGTTTGTGTTTCCATATTATATGTGGGTGCACTGTGTATAATTATTTTGTATATACACACACATGCATGTATATTTAAGAAAAAAATATTATTTATACATAAATTATTTATATATAATATGAATCTATATTCAGTATATAAATGAAAATATTTCTTAAATATATACAAGCATGTGTGTGTATTTATATATATAAAATAATTATACACAGTGCACCCACATATAATATGGAAACACAAACTTTTATTTTGGATGCGATTAATCGCGATTAATCGTTTGACAGCCCTAATAATATTATTGTTAGCCTTATTTTTTATTCTTAAAAATTCTATATATATATACATATACACACATATACATTTAAACAACTGATCTTGACATACTGTTTTATTATTTTTCGTCACATGACAACAGGTTTAAATCCCACAAAAATGTCAAAATGGTATTGTAATTGAATACACAATAAGTTTTCAATTTCTCAAGTCATTTTCTGAATTGCATTTTTAGTTGTTGAATTATTGAATTAAAAAGATTCAGGCAAATATGATCAATTAACAAATGCGCAGCACATTTTTCAGACTATATCGATTTTAAGCAAAATAATAATTTGCTTTCTTTATAAGGATCAACTGTTTAATTTTCAATTGTTTCGTGCTTGTAAAGGTTACAGGAAGTGTAGATAGAAAAAGGAAGGATGTGGTTGTCAGCCAGGGTCAGTGAGGTTATTCAGAAACACGGTGGGAATTATTACGTACAGCCAACGGGTTAAACTTTAGAAGGAAATCGAATCGCAGACCTCCAATGCATTGCATATTCCCAGTTTTTTTTTGTCTGTGTGAAAAAGTGAAGTATCTCTTAAAGTTCCTTAGACGTACAAAGACCTTCATTTGTCTCCATTAAGATCAGCCACGGTTAAAACAAAATGAGTGTGACAGCTTGAGTTATCACATGAGACCAGATTCTGTGTCTGAATGTTTTTTCAGCATTTGAAAGCAGACCTGATGAGGCAGTTTGACACTCAAGTGAATGAGCTCATGGACAGCCTGATAGAGGAGTCTGCCAGTCTGGGTTCCACCCATGTGAGCACAGTCTTTCAGTGTCTCTCAGATAAGGAGAAAAGCAAACTCAGGTACTGAAATCACCCATGAACAGCATTACAATGAGTACATTTCAATGTTCTCATTTTCTGTCAAGAATTCACTGCATTTGTGCTTTTATCTCACATCTTTCCCCGTGTTGTCTACCTCACCATCTTCCTCTTTGCTCCTGTAGGCATACACAACCCTCCCAAGCTCAAAGCAAGCAGTTTGTGATTCGCCGATCCCTTTTAGAGTGAGTCATGGGTGTATTTTCTCTGAGATCCTGCTGAAACCTGTACTGACATGTGTGAAATCTGAGATTTGTTTCCGTCTGTGGTGAGATAAAGATGAGATATGACTTCCATTTGATTAGCTGACCTAAATAAACGTTTTTTTTTATTATATCACAATTTATGATATATTTATTTTTTCATGTATTTAGAGTTTAATCAGTAAAACAGTGGCCATTCAAGTGACCAGATACATATGGTTGTACTGAATATGTATATTTGAAGTATTTTGATTTTTCTGCAGTGATCTCTTTGAGGTGAACCACATCCGCACCATCTATCACATGTTCATCGCTCTCCTCATCCTCTTCATCTTCAGCACACTCGTCGTGGACTTCATCGATGAGGGCAGGTTAGGACACTCACTATTCATCAACACTTTTGGAATCCAGTTTGCTTCAGTTTTTTTCGATGGCAACCTTGTTTGAAATGTTCAAGTTCTGATCTTGAGTGTGGTTTCATAAATTCAGTTACGTTTGGAAGGTCTCCTATATTCAGTATATACGTCTCCTGGCTTATAGAGGCCCAAACCTATTCAAAATAAATACAGTTCAATAGATAGATGTATAAGATCTATCTGTCGTTCTGTCTATATGTCTGTCTGTCTATCTATCTGTCTGTCATTCTATCCATCTATCCATCTATCCATCTATCCATCTATCTATCTATCTATCTATCTATCTATCTATCTATCTATCTATCTATCTATCCATCTATCCATCTATCCATCTATCCATCTATCCATCTATCTATCTATCTATCTATCTATCTATCTATCTATCTATCTATCTATCTATCTATCTATCTATCTATCTATCTATCTATCTATCTATCTATCTATCTATCTATCTATCTATCTGTCTGTCTGTCTGTCTGTCTGTCTGTCTGTCTGTCTGTCTGTCTGTCTGTCTGTCTGTCTGTCTGTCTGTCTGTCTATCTATCTATCTGTTTGTCTGTCTGTCTGTCTGTCTGTCTATCTATCTATCGTTCTATCTATCTATCTATCTATCTATCTGTTTGTCTGTCTGTCTGTCTATCTATCTATCTATCGTTCTATCTATCTATCTATCTATCTATCTATCTATCTATCTATCTATCGATCGTTCTATCGTTCTATCTATCTATCGTTCAATTTATCTATCGTTCAATCTATCTATCGTTCAATCTATCTATCGTTCAATCTATCGATCGTTCTATCTATCGTTCTATCGTTCTATCTATCGTTCTATTTATCTATCTATCTATCTATCTATCTATCTATCTATCTATCTATCTATCTATCTATCTATCTATCTATCTATCTATCTATCTATCTATCTATCTATCTATCTATCTATCTATCTATCTATCTATCTATCTATCTATCTATCTATCTGTCGTTCTATCTATCTCTCTGTCGTTCTATCTATCTATCTATATATTGTTCTATCTATCTATCGTTCTATCTATCATTCTGTCTATCTGCTCTCACTCTAGTCTATATAATTTTTTCTTTTGATCTGTTGTTCTGTCACTCTATTGTTCTGTTACTCCTATCTGTTTGTCAATATATCTATTTATGCAGTAATGTGAAGCAAAGCAATGGAAGAAGATGCACTAATTTGTGTAAAAGTGTAAAATTCTTTCCTTCTTGCATTCTCTCTAGACTGGTGCTGGAGTTCGACCTGTTGGTTTACGCGTTTGGCCAGTTCCCCCTAGTGGTTGTCACATGGATGTGTATGTTCCTGTCCTCGCTTGTGGTTCCATATGTACTGCTCGGTGTCTGGGCCAGCGTCTACCCCACGTCAAACTATCGGGCCTTATGGACAGCGCTGGCCGGTTCTCTGTTGCTGCTGTACCAGGGGCTGTGTTTGGGTTTCCTGCCCACATATGTGGTGCTGAAGAACGGCCTTCCCCCTGCTTCGTGCTTCATACTTATTCTAGAACAGGTACTCCGTAACCATAGCAACGGGATTCTTTTTATATCACTCCATTGCTTTTTTCTGCCCTCGTGTGTTTTTTGAGCGTGTTCCTGGGTAGAAATCTAATCTTGTATGAAGGTAGCTTTTCAATATAAGGTTTGTTTTGCTTTTCCTGCTGAATCTAGTTGTTGCTAATGGGTTTTGTTGTAAACAGGTGCGGCTGATGATGAAAACTCACTCTTTCATCAGGGAAAATGTGCCAAGAGTACGATCCTTAGAACCAAACAAAACGAGTAAGATCTTCACTTGGATGCTGGTTGACATAAAAAAACAAAACTTTTGGTTTATTTTGTCGTCGTCTTTTTCAGGTTCAGTAGCTGTCCCTCAGTTCACCCAGTACATTTACTTTCTCTTTGCACCCACCCTAATATACAGAGACAATTACCCACGGTAAGACTGACTGCTATTGGTTAACGTAGTAAAAAAAAAAAAAAAAAATCATAACATATATAAATGATAATATATCAAAATTGTATTTTTGTAAATAAAATTTGCTTAAAATATATTTATAGAGTCAGTTTTGATTTGATTTTATGTTGCTTTGTTTCTGTAGAAATCCTTGTATTCGGTGGGGTTATGTGGCCACAAAGTTTTCACAGGTGGTTTTTTTGAAAGAGTGCATGTTTATGTTGTGATTTTCACAAACATTTATTTCAAGACTCGAATGTTGTAATGTTTTTCTGTGTCGTTCCAGGTGCTGGGGAGTTTGTTTTACGCGTATTACATATTTGTGCGGCTGTGTATCCCTCAGTTCCGCATTATCAGTATGCAGCTCTTTGACCTGAGGGCCATGGTGTTGTGTGTCTTCAACTCTATACTGCCAGGTATCGTGTCAGCAGGGCCAATATATCTTCACATGCCTTAATACTGATAAAATGTTGAGAAAGTGAGTCACAAATGTAGTAAAAACATGGACACATACATTTTGTGTGATGATATTGTCCCATACTTAGGAGTGCTGGTGCTTTTCTTGGCCTTCTTTGCCTTTCTGCATTGCTGGCTTAACGCGTTTGCTGAAATGCTACGATTTGGAGACAGAATGTTTTATAAGGTAACAGACAGCACCAACAGAAAGTGTTTCAATCCACAAATATACACCCTTATACCTTATAGACTTTGTTTTAGTTTTATATGTTCCACATGATCAGGTCTGCTTAGTTTAGCATTTTATCTTTTTTTGTGTTCCTATTGTGCGTTTCGTTCTTTGAATAATGTGCTTTTTCTCTAGGACTGGTGGAACTCCACTTCATTTGCTAACTATTACCGCACATGGAATGTTGTAGTACACGATTGGCTTTATTATTATGTCTACAGGGACTTCTTGTGGGTAAGTCATTAGTTGAAAATGTATTCTGTAGTAAATATAAATTATTCATAGTCTATAGTGTGTGTGTGTGTATGTCTATATGAAGAGTTCAGATGCAAAAGCCTCTAAATGCCATTTGAAATTTTCTTCTTTAATGATGATTTTTTATCAAACTTGTATATTTAAGTTCAGTAATTTCACTTTAATAACAATTAATAGGTAATTATCATTGCCATTTAAGTGAAATTACTGAACTTGAATATATAAGCTTGATAAAAATTATCATTCTAGAAGAAAATTTCAAATGGCACTTAGAGGCTTTTGCATCTGAACTCTTCATATATATATATATATATATATAATATGTACATATACACACACACATATATCTTTTTTTTCATTATTACTAAATTACTATTACTTTTTATTATGTAAATATTTAATTTTATTATAATTTTCTTTTAATATTTTTATTATAATTTGTTTATATACAATTGTATTTAATTTGGCTATATATAGAATTGAGTGCACCATTGAAAACTCATGGAAGTGTTTCAAGATGGACCCCTTGGGTGGCCTTGTGTTAAACTGTAAAAAAAAAAAAAAAATCTGTTTTTGTCTTATTTGAATGGACTCAGGAATGTATTTGAAAATGTGACCAAATGTGCATCAAGCCAAACCAAGTTTGATCATCCGCTTCTACAGATGACACAGAAGCGGTTCCGTGCGGCGGCCATGTTAGTTGTGTTTACTGTGTCTGCTGTGGTGCACGAGTATGTTCTGGCCATCTGCTTTGGCTTCTTCTACCCCGTCCTGTTCTGCATCTTCATGTGCTTTGGAAGTAAGAACCTCATTTACTACATAAGCATGGTAAAAAATCCCTGCTGAAAAACTGATAGTTAAGCTGGTCTTACAGCTGACCAAGCTGCTGTTTATTTGGTCAGCAGCTGTTCTACCAAAAACCATACAGGCAGACCAATTTAGCCAGCTTGACCAGGCTGGGATACCAGACAACCACCTAAAAATTGGTTTTAGCTTCAGTTACAATGACTCTGTTTTTCCATGGCTGATTAACATGACAGAGCCTTAATATAGGTATTGTAATCCACTCAAATTTCTCTTTAATAGTGGTGTTTAACTTCGTTCTTCATGACCGGAGAAAAGGGCCGATCTGGAACGTGATCATGTGGACTTCGCTGTTCTTGGGACAGGGGGTTCTCATCTGCCTGTACTCTCAGGAGTGGTACGCTCGGCGCTACTGCTCCATTGAAGAGGTAAACAAAGTGTTGGTGCCTGGTGTATATATATATATATATATATATTCAACTGTGAATGTAGTTTAATGTGGATTTATTCATATATTGGTGGCTTCCTTTTTGTTTCCTCAGCCCTCTTTCATAGACCTGCTGAAGCCTCGATCTTGGACTTGTCATCCAGAAACTAACACTGCTGTGGACCCTCCAGCTGCCAAATGAATGCCATTCATACTGTTGGGAAGCCAGAGGAGGGACTTTTAGCATTAATAGGTATTGCACTATGACCAAACGAAGTGAAAATCGTTGAAAAAAGACAATGTTTCACAAAGAGGCCTTGAATATTTGATTTGTTGAGATTTTAATATTTATGATAACCTGTAACAGAATGTACATTACAAATATTTCCTTTCAAATTTCTAAGCGACAGTCTTGTTAACATTTGATAATCTATATTAGGTTATGTCTGATCTGGCTAAAGAGATTCTATTTTTAGAAGCCTTTGTGACTTCATAAAGTTGAGATCTGATTAGAAATGTGTTTTGTGTACTGCCATTTCTTAGATATGGTTGTGTTATTCCAGTACTAAAGAGGCCATGTGGCACATTTTGACCATTTTTTTTTTTTTTTCCTGGACCTCAAATTCTAGAATGTTTACAAGCGGGGTTGTGAATGCTAAAACCTCAGTGGATTTAATATATGTGCCATATTTCTGTGAAACACAATTGTTTACTTCTTACCTTTCACTCATACCCACGATTTCACAGACAAGGCCTAAGCTAGTTCCAGACTGAAATATCTTAAAATATGTATGCATCTCAAGATGTACACCAGTAAAAAAAAATTTCTAAGGCACGTTTAAAAGCAACTTAAATGGCGTAGTTGAACTAAGGCCTTATCCTGGCTTAATCTAAGCACTGTCTGTGAAACCGGACCTTTGAGTTTAAAGTAAATTTACTAAAATTAAAATGGGGAAATTCTCCATTCTGTCAATTTTATTTACTTTAGTTACTGTTTTTGAGAGTTCGACTGGATATATTGACTTTTTTGGGGGGTTCCTAGAGCTGAATTAATTGAATACTAATTACAAAGCCATGATTTCTGACTTATTTAGTACATAATAGGGTATCAGTTGTTTGGAAGTGTTGAGGTGTTGCAGCTGGCTGCACTCGTGATCATTGTGTTATTACCAACGTTATATATTGTGTTATTTCAAGCACAATCCCTTTATTAGCTATAAATTATTGTTGGGTACACTACCAGGATTATTTTTAAGACTCTTCTAAGACATTTTGAATGTAATTTATTAGTGCAAAAAAAAAAATGAAGTGTCTCTCTATTATTGAGTAAATTGTTTTTAAATTGTTTCTGCAATAACTGTTATGACCAGCAGGTGGTGGTGGAGAGTTGAATCATAGGACTACTGTATGTCTGTACAAGGCATTTTTCTGTTCTTTTTGACACCTGTCATGTAAATGATTTGTAATTTCCAGAGTAGTTGATGAATGTAATTTTCATGAAAAACAAGTGATCAATGTTCTGTAATAATGAAAACCGATGCCATATTTGAAACAAATTTTCATCATAATTTATTTTGTGAAATGTTCAGTGTGTAGCCTGTCCCAGTATGATCTGTAATAGACAAATAAACAGTTTCACTTACTTAAGTGTAATTGGCTTGTATGTACTATTTTGTGTATTGAGCCATGTGATATGTTGAGATTGTTGTAGAAATGACAGATTATTAGTGTATGTATGCTATATATATATATATATATATATATATATATATATATATATATATATTGAAGACCGGGGTGAATAGGTGATGAAAATTCAGCTTCTCTATCACAGAATAAACTAGTATTTTAAAGGATATTAAAACAGAAAACTTTTATATTAATTATAATATTTCACAATATTACTGCTTTATCAATATTTTGAATGCAGAAAATAAATACATTTGGTGAGCATAAAAGATTTCTTTAAAAAAACATATATTACATTACTGGAGAAAATTATTTAGAAGGTGAAGTATTTTTAATGAGATGCAAGATAAATATTATTATTTAGCAATATTATTTAAAAAGCTCCAAATCATAATATTTTACAAATTATATATTGATAAACAATAGGCGTGGCATTAAGAGCTAAACGTAGCCTATTATGAGAGCATTTAATATTATTATAAAATATGATGTTGTTGATATAGCCCAAATATCATCATTTTCTTTGTTGTGTGTTAATAAGACACTTTAATGAAACCTTTTTATTATTTAATTTTTTTTGTTTGTTATACTGTAAACCTTATTCATTTACTATCGGTAACATAAGTTGTCGTTGTACATTACGACTGAACAACTATTGGTTACGCTTATGTCAATATTAATATTCACAAATTAAAAAGAGAGATGTTTTGCATCACTGCGATGATGATGTGCTGCGCGCTCTCCGTCATTGGCTCGTGCAGCGCACGCCACTGATCCTGCGGTAAAGATGGCGGCGGCGGAGGGGGCGCGCAGCGGCTGGAGCAGAACGGAACGACCCCAGACGGGTTCGTTTTAAGAGAAACGGTGCTGGGGGGCAGGAGAATCCTACATTCCCGCTTAACAGAGCCGCTTATCCGGTTTAGTAGAATTGAACGCTTAGACAGAGTGTTGTTGGGTGTTAGGTGTTGGGTGGGTTCTATCGCTCTCTCCCATACACACACACACACACACATAGATTGCTAACTAGCTAAGCTAACAGAGCTCGGTCCGGTCCGGTAGAGGAGAGGAGAGGGAAGAGGAGGGGTGACCAAGAAAGGGAAGACAATCATCTCTTGAAGAACAGGCCGTCGTCCCGCGGTTCGTTCGTTCGTTGTGGGATGTGAGCGGTCCAAACGGACGGCGGGTCTTTCCACAGATCTGTGTTATTTTCCCACCCAGAACACTCGCAGGATGGGACAACAGGTAGGCCGCGTGGGAGAAGGGGCTTCCGCTGGGATTCAGACCCCACCGCAGGGGCAACAGCAGCCGAGCAGATCGAACCGGGCCAGCAGCTCCGGGAGGAGACCCCGAGACAGCAACATCACAGGGACGCCACCGGGCAGAACTGCCGCCGCTGCAGCGAACATCATGCCGGATCCAGGGATCAATGTTTTCACCCTGCACTCAGGTATGAGCCCATTCAGCTGGTCATTTCGCAGGGTTCCCCTTGCAACATGCTAATCATAGTCGGTAAAATGAGGAGCTGCTGTCCGTTGAGGAGTTGAGATAGATCTGTTGGGATAAGCGGAAATACTTCCATGACTCAGGCTGTGTTGCAAAATCGAGTGTGTTGCCTTTGTAGACAGGGTTATCTTGACACCATGAATGCGTCCAGAAACTATGGCCGGTAACCAAGTCTTGAAGATTGACATGGACATGCACCAGACTGCTAAAGCAGATCACCCTAAAATGTAGGCTCACACAGCCGAGCTCACTTGTCTCCCTCAATGTCTGAACAGTTTGTGAGTTTAACGTGTTTTGTAAAAGGTCAGTGTCTGGTCATCTTCCATTAGAACACTTTTTTGAAGAATATGAAGTGATGTTGTTGCTGTAGGTTCAAACCCCAGTAGGTGTCAATCCGTGTACTAGCACCATTGTGTCCATTCCAGGTGCAGTGTCACTGCTCTGATTGGATAAAAGCCTCAGGTAAATGACAAGTTTGTTTACTGTCACTTTATTATGATCCAAAACATGCTTTTGAGATGTATCCGTGACAATCTTTTTGAGATATGTTATGGTTAAAACGTATTTCTTGTTTATATGCTGCTATGGAGATATTCCTGCAGAAATATGTAATATGAGCACTGAGCAGATTCTGCTTCTTATTCAAAGAATATATATGTTGCATGTAAACACGGTTGCTATTCTAATCTATTACACCCAGATTGACTTCTTCCTGCTCTGACCCACCTTACACACCCTAGTATAAAATTACTGTATACTCTTACAATTGCATTCATGCTATCTCACTTTGAGCAACATTCCACAGTGTGTGTATAAAGACACCTAAATGGCACTTCAGAACTGTGTAAATCTGGCATTTGATGTTGAGGATTGTGTTTTTTTACGGGCAGTGACTCAACTGAGAAGGGGAAGTTCAGACACCATACTATCCTAACTGTAGAAATGCGATGACTGTTATTTGATAAGGCTGGCATTTATTGTCTCTTATAAAGGACTTTCTGCTGGGGAAGCCACTGCTTTCTCGGATTTCGCTCGCTCGATTTCACTGACTCATTTGTTTCAGGCAGTAACACAAAGCACATATTTGATCATAATGCGGTTTTGTGTGTCACTTTTCTTAAATCTCATAATCAGGTGTTGATTATTGTGACTGTGGCACAATGGTTGGGATTTCATTAGAAGTGTGGTTTGCACTGTAAGGGAGTCGAGAATTGGGTTTTCGTTTAAATTTTAGCGTATCCGATTGCAATTCTGCTTACAGATTCCCATTCTTTTAGATTCACAGTTTTGATTCCAGTATGGTAAAAACATTTATATATCAAGCATTTATTCTGAGTCTTTAGTTGAAAGCTTCCATAACGCTCGCTCTGCTCCTCACTTTTATGAATGCCATTTTATGTGCACATTTTACTTTCGAATTAGCAATTTAAAAGCGAGGTGCAAAAGAGGGAAAAACTCAGTGTCGGTCTGTTCTCCAGGGTGGGTTGATCCATGCCAAAGAGGAGCTTGTCACATCTTGACAGTGAACCCTTCGGCTGGAAACACTGACATGTGAGGGTTGCAGATGAGTTATTTTTACTCCCATCCCTTATAGCCAGATGTATAGCTGTGGCTGAAAGTCATCTGAATAAGCAGGATAATAATTGTATGGTTACATGCCTGACTGTCATACCAGTGGTGACTAACTGCCATGGTAAACTTCATCAGACACACCTTATATCAAACACTGGAGGCTAGAACATCTTATAATGTCTGTTCTCTAATCATATTTGGTCACATTTTGTTGTTTTATGTGTAAATTCGCTTTGTCTCAGAGTGTTAGAGCCTCATCTGTAAGGTTAAAGCGATATCTCACCCTAAAATGAAAAAAATATGTTGTTGGTGGTTACTCGATCTAATGTTGTTTCTGAAATGTATCCGGTAACACTTTACAATAAGGTCTAATTTGTAATTTTTACTATGTTTTAGCTTACCTCGAGGTAGGGCTGGGCGATATGGCCAAAAAATCATATCTCGATATTTTTTGGTCAAATGGCGATATACGATATATATCTCGGTACTTTCTACGTTTTCTATTTAGATAAAGAAAATCTTTATATTAAAATATATATATATATATATACAGTATATTCACATTCGGCCCAATGATATCCTAGTACAAACAATGTTGATATTGAAGGATATGGAAACAAATATAATATAGGCTATGCAATATATTATGTGCAAAAAGCTTTTGTTTTTATATTGACTAAAAGCTAAACTAAAAATGAAAATAAAAACAAAAACAAAAGCACAAACTAATTATATTAGCCTGCATTTGATTACCCCATTATAATCACTTTCACTTTCATTAAAAATATATACTTGTAGGTTTAAAATTCCACATATGGCACATTTATTTTCTCCAACAACACATATTTTAGCAATATGTTTATTTTAGTCAGAATTATTGCGTACTACGTAGTACTATTCACGCGCATGCGCGCGCCGGCGCTCGTTCAAGGAAGCATGAATTTTAGCGGAGATTCACTTGCAGAAGCTCGTCCTCTTCTGACATGGACATATTTGTTGTGAAATGGACATATTTGCTTTACTTTCTAACATTTACAGATGGAGAATATGTGAAATGTAAGTTGAGCACTGAGGAAAGCACCACATCTCAAACACATTAAACAGCGCAAGTATATCTGTCAGTCAGCAACAGTGTCTGTCAGAGCATTTGACAGGGCGGCAAGCTGCCTTAAACTTGTTAACTATATCAAAGTGATTTTGACGCAATTAATATAAGCTTGTGTCATGTTTAGGACAAATTGTACTACGTAGCCTAGAGCAGCTCACACTGCAACCTCCGCTATTTTTCAGATGTGCTCATATCAAACTACTGTATCGATATAAACGGTATTGCCTCATTCCATATCGTTTCAAAAAATATAACGATACATCGTACATATTCGATATATCGCCCAGCCCTACCTCGAGGGCATCCAAGATGTAGGTGTCTTTGTTTCTGCAGTAGTTTCAATTTTGATATTTTTAGGTCAAACCGTTTTTGTCTGTCAGTCATATAATGGAGGTCTATGGTCACCACCTCAAAGAGCATGCACAGAGAAGTCCAAATTAAACATGATTTAATGACTCATTGATGGCATAAGACACGAAACGAGTGATTTGTGTGAGAAAACGAACAGTATTTATATCGTTTTTACCTCTTGTAACCACAGCCACCTCCAAGTGATCTGAGGGCGCGGGTGCTTTGGTCTGCGCAAGCGCCGGAAGTGATCTCTTCGTAAGTGAAAAAGAGTTCGCAATGTTTTTCTTTAGCGACAGTTTAAACATCCCGAATAAGTGCAAATTAGTACCATTTTAATTAGCCGTCTTACCTACAATCTCTGTTCTGTGTAAACAATGAGTGACGTACACGCGCGAGAGATCACTTCCGGGGGTTTTCCGGTGCTTGCACAGACAGAAGCGCCCGCGCCCTCAAATCACTTGGAGGTGGCTGTGTTTACAAGAGGTAAAACAGTTCGCTTCTCACACAAATCGCTCGTTTCGTGTCTTATGGCATCAATGTGTGCTTACTTTAACAATTCGTTAAATCATCTTTAATTTGGACTTCTCTGTGGATGCTCTTTGAGGTGGTGACCATAGACCTTCATTATATGACTGAAAGACAAGTACGGTTTGACCTAAAAATATCAAAATTGAAAATACTGCGGAAACAAAGACACCTACATCTTGGGTGCCCTTGAGGTAAGCTAAAACATACCAAAAATTAATTTCAAAGTGAACTATCCCATTCTCCCACACAACATCAACAAGAAGCTTCTTCACTGTTTAATTTTGAAACTCTGCAGTGAGGTCATCATCACTCAGTCTGATGACTACACAAGAGCACTGGGGGAGTTGGACAACTCCGTTTCCCACCGCTTTTCTGCCCATAGTGCATTCAGGACATCCACAGGTGACTCATCTAATGCTCAAAGCAGAATTCCGTCAGATCCTGGAGAATATTCATCTCTTTCATTAACTAGTGGAATTCCATCAGATTTGACCATGATGAGCTGTGCTTAATTTGACCACGGAGGGATAAAAGAGTGGTTCTGTCTGCGTCCTCCCGTCCCCTGCAGACAGCCAATGAGTCAGCCCGTCGCCGCTCTGAGGTCACGGGGCCAGTTCCACACTCTTTTTATTTATTTATCAACTCTGTCCTGCACTAGCATGCTTTTATTATTTCAGTAGGGTGGTGCAAAGTGCTGCACTGAACTTAATGCAGTCCAAAGTACCCGAAACGATTGATTTTTAGAGCTCAGAACAGTGCGGAGCTTTAGTTGGCACATGATTAGAAGATCAAATGCACAGATGAACTAGTCTCGAAAGTTTCCTTTTTTTGGGTGTTTTATTGTTCCATCGTTTTATGTATCATGCATTTCCAAGGTTTGGGAAAGCGAAATACCATGAGGCTGATGGTACCATGAACTTAATGATATAATGTTGGCAGTTGGCAGCAGCTTTAAATACGATTCATCCAAGCAAAATTGAGAGTCGGAACTGTCCGTTTAAGAAATATGAGAGAATATCGTAGATGATTTTGGTGAAGTTATGGTTTTGGAGCTCTAGTTGTTTCTGGTAAGCAGGCATAATGCTGCTGTAATTGAGTTACGTAAATATCTCTTTTATCCCAGTTTGTTTTAAAGGATGGAGTAGACAGCAGTGACACGTGTGAAATTCCCAGGATGTAAGAGGATAGGAATTAAGGGCTAAATTAGATGCAATCCATTTTTTGATCTGTGAGATAGATTTGAAGCAAAACAGCGGAGGAGAAGCTTTATATAGTCTCAAATTCTCTCTCATTGTGAAGACCTGATGGGGCTCTCTTGGCCCACGGTTCGATTTGGTTGTTGCACCACTAGAGGTCATTAGAACACCGCAATTTGTTGTCACTAT